GTTCAAATATTTTTTTATCCATCCATTATATCATTAATATATTAATTTATAAATATGTATTACACTTTCATTATAAAATAATTTATATTATATATTTTCATTTATGTCAACTGTTTGTAAATAATTCGTTAGCCTATATTTATTAATATTTATATTGATACTATCAATACTATTAACCAATGTTATTTCAATATTATAAATTCAATACTATGAAATTGACTAAATCTACATTTTCATTGTCCACATTTATTATACAACAAACTTTAAACTATTAACATATGCAAACTTATAAATAACATAGAATCAGCTTTGAAGAGCTTAAAACTTTTCACAAACAAATGGTCACTAGCTCTGTGTAAGTAAACACAGACTCGCAGAGGAAGCCAAAGCATAATTTTTACTAGCTCACAATCAATCAAAAAACAAGAATCTTCAAGTATTGATATATTATTCACTCGACTTGAGAACCCACAAATGAAGTTGTTATAGTCCAGTAAAGCTTCGACATTGATAATCCCAATACTCTTTGGCTTGTTGTAACCTCTCTGCTCTCTCTGTTTTACACCTTTCTTCCCAATAATCTCGGCAGCTGCATATGCATTACATGTTTAGAATCTCAAAACTTAAAAGATAGGTTTCAAAGATTGGTTGTATTTTCCTTTACCTTCGCTTAAGTAAGATACTAAGCTCGTCCAAGTGAACAGCACCTTTATAAACACAAACCTGTCATCAAATAAAAGAAATGCATTAAGATCACTGAAACATGCAAGAAGATTAGTATATCAATAAAGTTGGTGAAGAATGCTACCTCACGGCAAAGTGGGCATTTCTCAGATGGGTCTGCAGTTTTCAAGCCATCAACTACGTTTACTGATGCAGCAGAACAAGCACACATGTAGCAGTAGATGTGACCACAGGTTAATGATATCGGATCAAACACCGTGTCCTGTTCAAACATTTTAAAGTTTTTAAATATTCATTTTTGGACAAGATAGGATCTACAAGAGAAGAGTGGAACAGCACTTTGATTATTTCATTTTACTACCAAGTCAACTACTAATTGTTTATTTTTTGACATTGAGATTCTTAAAAAGTCATTATCTTAAGTTTGCTTACCAAGCATATTGAACAAGTCAAGTCGATGTCAACTTTAACAGAATCAGAGAGCTCGCAGGAAAGAAAAGGCTTCCCATCATCAAAGATAAAAGAGCAACCACCACCAAAGAGTGATGGATGAGAAGCCAAAACAGCTCCACACTCCTTCTGAGATTCTTTCAGGTTGATGTGAAACGCCATAAGCTCGCATAGCCATGGTGATTGAAGGATCTCTATTCTCATTTTTTGGACTTGCGTCTTAAACGCTTGTCCTTGGCTAGACTCATGAATCTGCACCGCAAAAAAAAATGCACAAATGTTTATTTATTGAATACATAAGAAGTGTTTAAAGATCATCTTGTATAGATAATTAACCTTGTCGTATTTCTTGAGGATTTTTCTAATGGCTACAGCGTTGATGAGGGCATAGTTAACCAAATCTTTGCCTTGTTGGATCAAACCAAGATGGGTCGTTTTGCGAGTATTACCAGTGAACCAAGTAAGACACTTTTTGAAACTAGAAGCTAAGTGTAACTCAAGAAGCTTCTGAGCATTCTCGTTAAACCATCCCACAACATCCTCCATCTCCTTTTGAAGCTCCGGGAAAAAGGTTCCATCACAAACTGCACAAAGATTAAAATATTATCATCTAAACATGATATGATTCTCAAAACCAAAAGAAGAAGAAAGGTAGAGTACCTACCTGTGCATTCACGAGGACAGTTGTTTCCATGTTGTTGACTGATTGAAGCAATACGAGAAGGAAGATGATCACTTCTTCTGCATTTCTTGAGAATCTTTTTGAGTTTCTTGAAGCCAACACCAGGTAGATTCTTCTTCTCCTTCTGTTCTTGCATGTACTCCTCATACTTCTTACAGAACTTCATTTTTCACAATCTCTTGAGAAGTATAATCAACAAAACACACACTAGAAAAGGTTAAATTTAGATGATCATCAACAAACTCAGCCCTGAACAAACAGGATCTGATCAAGAAAACTACAACTCTGGACAGTTTTTTCTTCAATCTCTCTTGCGTCTCGTGTTGGTTTTAATATGAGAAAAGAAACAGAAGCGTATTTATGAACAGAGGAAGAAGAAAGAAGCTGGTGAGGTCGGCTGAAAACAACTTTGTTATTAAAAAATGTAAAAAGGAAAGCAAAAGTCAAATGATTTTTTGGGAAACATATCTCTGTTTAAAGGTGTTATTTGTGTTTATTGTATTCAGCAAAGAGATTGACTACTGGTTGATTTCAGTTTCATTTACTTCCTTTAATTTCTTAGACGTTAATGCATTTGACAGATTCGTTACGATATATTGAAGAAGTGTATACACAATTTTATTGATGACCACATTCAATACACATCACATTCAATCTATTTTCTTAATGCCACGTGGATGTGATTCGAAGTTAGGACTCTTGATTGGTTGACGTCATAGAGTTTATAAAATTTAGACAGCAAAACAAAAACTATAACTATGTTTTCTAAAGATCTATAGGTCTCAGTGATATTTTACATTTTAAAGAATAACATATAGATTTATATTTGTTACCTCTACAATGGGTGGCGTCTTGATTGAATCTGTGAAAATTAATACCAAGATATAATTTTCCATGATTTAAGATATATAATACTTAGTATACACTGTGTAACATGAGGACAGGATAAAGATGCCACCACAAAGACAAAGGGCTTACGCTATGAATGTTTTTCTTCTACTTGGTGGGGTCAAATTATAAATTCTTGATAACAATGAGGATATAATACAATTTCTTAGTAGTTTATATTGATTTGGATTTCGCCACCAAAACTTGCTTTAATCATTTCCAAGCCGCGGATTTTGTCGTTGTTCACTTTTTGGCCCCTTATATTAGTATATGGTTTTATTATGTACAATTTTTTTCCCTCGCCAATCCCCACCATTATCCACAGTTTCTCTAATTTTAAACGTTTTTCTTACTCTACATAGTCTATTCTCCTCAAGAATGTGGTTCTTTTCTATTTTACCCACAAAATTAGCGGGATGTCGTCTTTTGCCTTTCTAAAAAGTTTCAAAGAAGATGCTCAAGTAGCAAAGACAATATGCTTTTTCTTCTTTATTTTATCTGATTGGTTTTGTAATGTTTACTAGAAATTAGCTGCATGAATCATATATCTTACTACATGTCTGCATAATGATGCCATAGACTCATATATCTTACTACATGTCTGCATAACGAGGTAATGTGAAGACATAATATCATGCATAATGAGGTAATGTGAAGGCATAATATCATGATTTCTTTCATCTCTGGCTTATCTTGATTTGAACGTTTACACATCCAAATACCTAATCGTCCATTCTTGTATCTAATATTCTAAGCTAACTTAAGTCATTTGTAGATATTAAGAGAGTATTCTGACGGAAACAGCCAACCAACTATATCAGACAATTTCATTTGGGACAATACAAAAAAAGAAGTATTTATTTCAAAATTTATTTAGTATTATCGTAAAAAATTCATCCATGTTCAATAGTCTGAATATGAGAAAAAGTTCCAACATGTAGACAAAAGCTTTCAGGAAAGAGGAACACCATTGCATATACGGTTCAAATACTCTCTGGTTTATTCAATTCGACTGGTTGTAAACATTTTTAGGCCCAGTGGCCAGTGGGATAGACGTTTTCAAAAGGAGAAATATAAAAGTTAGCCACAACAATGAACGATGTATATAATAATAAAATACTAAGATGAATCTAGGATTCGACGAGAAAACATAGTCTCTCTTGCGTGAATGAAATGCAAAAGACACCTAGGAATAACGTAAGCAAGTATAGCTTTTATACAAAAAAAAACGTAGTTTCTTAAAGATTACGCAAATATTATAACAAACTAGGTCAAACACGCTAAATCCAGCTCCAATGTTGATCCGGAATATACAACTTCACAACTATTATCATGAGTCGTAACGGAAGAAAACACCGAACAATAAGAAAGGCTTATCTCCATGCAAAATACTACGACATTAAAAGGAAACCGTAGCAGCTCCACCTCTGTGATAAATAATATAGTTTGTGTCCGAAAAAACATATGTCTAGTGAACATGTTCCTTTCCTCTTTTTATCTTATCTCAGTTTTAGCTGAAGCGAGAGAAATTTTTATTGACAAACTACACTCAGTTTCTATTGGATTGCACTAAACATCACGATGTCAAACATATCTTAAAACAGCACGCAGTTTCGACTGATACACAAAAAACAACACTACGTCATTTAAAAAAAAATAGTTTCGTCTTTCCTAGATCAACATTTTTAAAAATTTCAAAATGTTCAAAACTTATAAATACAGTTTTCAACTAATAGATTTTATTAAACTAATTATGTGTACAAATTTTTTTTTTGAAAAAAACTAAATTTAATAACTCAAATTCAAGTTTAAAACTTGCCCACTCGCACAAGCGCGTGAAACACCAACACGCTCCACTATCATTAATAGTTATCTTTGAGATCCGTTCGATTTTAAGATATTGTTTAAAAAGCAGCGCGTTTAGCACAAAAACGACGCCGTTTTTCATCCTCTCAAATGTTTAGCACAAAACGACGCCGTTCTCCCCTTTATCTTTAGTATGACGTCGTTCCTCCCTCTCAATGTGTGTTCCCATTTTTACAGAGAACAACAGCGATTTCTCCATGGCTTTCTTCTTCTCCAGAGAGCTTCTCGAATCCCCGCGTTTCCACTCGCTATAGTAAGATCACTACATGTACTCAGTCTCTCTCAGCCTCATATTCTTAGAGCCAGGTTCAAGAAGATGCACATCACTTCCTTCCTGCTCAGGAACATGATCAGATTCTGTAAGAAAAAGTGACGACCTTTTTTTTGAACTGTTTTTTTTTTTTTTTTTTTTTTTTTACATCTTGGGTTTGTTCTGAATCTCATTAAAAAGCAAGTCTCGGTCTTTGTGTTCCTCTGTTTGGGTTACTGTGAACCGTAATTCTATGCCACCACCACCCTCTCTTGGTTGAGACTTGAGAACCCAAAAAGGTAATAGAAAAAATTCACACTTTCATATAATGTCCACTTTGACTTTCCAGCTTCCATTTGATTACAGTCTGTGCCCTTTTTCTTGTCTTAATATCAAGTGTGATATATAAGGATTACAGTTTTGTCTTTTGTTATTGTAAGGATTCAGTTTTATTCAGTTCATCTTTCATTACAAAGCGACAAACGTTTAGTTTTGATCTTTATAACGACTCATTAACATAAGTTACACGACTGACAAACTAAAAAAACGAATGCAGCAAAGTCAAAAGAGAAGACCTAACGTGCCTTGGGGTTCACATCAGAACCAAAGCTTAAGTTAATGTCTACTGAACTTGATACGTTGATGTCTCTTGAGTCTTGTCCTCTTGTTTTCAGATATCAGACACTCCTTCAGCTCATGAACTACATGTGACATGTTAGGTCTTTCTAAAGAAGAAGGATACACGCATGTCATAGCTAGTTCAAGAGCTTTCCATGCTGAGCCAGAATCATATACCCCTTGGAGTTTAGGATCCATAACATTGTTAATATCTCCTCTAGTAAGCATAAACTTCACCCATTCTGCTATGTGAGGCTTTTCGCGTGTTTGATCGATCACCGGTTTGTTTGTTATGATTTCTAATAGTACAACACCAAAACTGTAGACATCACTTTTCTCAGACAACCTATTTGTTTGGTAATATCTGCGAAAGATAAAAAAACAATTGTATCTCCTTAACTTTAACCAATAGAGAAGATGGTGAAAAGATAGTACTTACTCATGATCAAGATATCCAGGTGTGCCAGCTACAAGTGTAGACACATGAGATTCACCTCCAACTGGGAATGATCTTGCTACAAGTCTGCAAGCTTTGCTTGGAATTGATCATCCAATAGTATGTTGGAACTTTTTACATCTCTATGAACTATTAACGGTTTGCAGCCAGAATGTAAATACTCCAACCCTGTCTCAAGAATTCACTAGTGTTAATTAATCAAAACATTTTAGAAAAAAATGAGAAGGGTGATTTGTAAATCTCTAAGCAAATGATGAACAAACCTAGTGCTGCATCAATAGCTATGTTTAGTCTATCTTCCCAGCTCATAGTGGAGCAACCTGCATGTAATAACAAAGCTAGTAATGAATGTCAAATAATCTTAAGATGTTACCAGCACAAATACAAATGTGTTACCTGAGACAAAAGCCCAATGGATTACAATATGTGTAGAACCACTCAACTAAATGAAAACCCTAGGGACTAATCCCTTTATATTCAGTCTCTAACCCTTAACCGTACTGGCCAAGTTTTCTGCGTGAAAGCTAGAGGCTACACTTTGTCGTGTAGAGAGAGATGGCTCGAGGTGTGGCAGTGAAATCAAATGCGAAGAAGAAAGGAGTGGCGTTCGTGATTGACTGTTCTAAACCAGTGGATGACGATATTATGGAGATCGCAACGCTTGAGAAGTTTCTTCAGGAACGAATCAAAGTCGGAGGCAAACCAGGAGCTCTTGGTGACTCTGTTTCCATTACAAGAGACAAAGGAAAGATTACTGTAACCGCAGATTCCAACTTCTCCAAACGGTACATCATAATTTCGAGTTTGCTGAGTTTTATTACGATATAATTGTTATCAATATTTTGATTTTCCTAACCCTAGATTGCTCTTTAATTTACAAAACACTAAACACTATTAGTTTTATACAATCTTAGTCAGATTAGTAGCTACCATAAACCCTAGCTTGCTGTTAAAGTATTCATTTCTCTATGCATTTAGATAAACACTATTGTTTTTTTTTTAAATCATAAAAAATAAGGTACTTGAAGTATCTGACCAAGAAGTATTTGAAGAAGTACAATATCCGTGACTGGCTACGCGTGGTTGCGTCGAACAAAGACGGAAACATGTATGAGCTAAGATACTTCAACATTGAAGACGATGCAGCTGGCGAGGAATAAGATTAATAATACTACTTCATCTCGTTTGCTATTATAGTTTGACATTTTTTCTTGCTTCTGTTAAGATTATGTTGAATGATTCAAAAAGAAGTAAAAGATCTACTAACATTTCTCATGGACATTAATTAACACATTGGTTGGTCTTGGTCTGAAACAGACAACCACAGAAACATTAAAAAAGAAAAAAACATAACTGATTGGTAAAAGCATCCAAAAGGTTGAGATTCTGTAAAAAAAAAGTCAAACTCCTTCAGACCGAAGAGACAAAAGAGTTTCTTCTTCTTCCCAAACTCTCAATTCCCAATTTCAATCCATTGCAATCAAACCCGCAACCACACTGCGGCGACTCATAAAACTCTCCGATCTCAAAATTCGCCGACGTGATCCCGACGGAGAATTCGAGCTGCTCTCCTTTTCTGAGAACCTCCACGATGTTAAGCCACAAGAAGAGAACCTTCACCTTCACGCCGGTAAGCTTCGTGAGCTTATTCTCCGATATGACACCGGAGATTGTCGACTTGTAATCCAATTGGTAAGAGCCTTGAAGAGAGAAGCTACACGACTTGTTGAAATACGCGTGGAACTTCCCTGTGGATTTATCCAGATCATATGATACGACTCCTTTAGGGAGGATTCCCACGGGGAAGTTGTAGCTTTGGAGGATAGAGTAAGCCGTCGGGAGATCGTCGTCTGTAGCGGCGGTGATGAACGGCGGAGTGAAACAGAGGAAGAAGAGAAACGAGGCGGTTAACATCGGAAACAGAGACATGGAATCTTTCAATATGTGATCGGCGAGAAAAGCAAGAGAGAGAGACCTTTGAAGGGAAAAGACGTGAGAGACTTGGCCCCATCTTAATATAATATTATTGACCAATTAACGGCGCCGTTCTTACCAAACAGCGGAACACGTGTCGTAAAGTACATGAGGTGTCTTTTTGGATTTTTATTTATTTTTATCAATAACAATTTTAAAAGGCCCATGACTCGGCATGAAGGCCCAAAACGGGGAAAACGACAAGCCGGTGCGTTTAAATGGCTTTGTTTCAATGTGTCACCATCATACCATTTATTCTAACGTAACGTGTTAGCTAGGATCAACCACATCCACGCAGAGCATGCACTACATCTCCGTTATTAATCCTTCTTTGCTTCTTTCTCATAAAACTCATAAATGATTCATGTAATATGATATGGAAAACCATATTCTTATCAAACAAAAGCTCGTTGTAAATGATGAGGGCCCAGCTTATAAAGTCGTTGTGAAGTAATTGCTTATCCACTCTGTAAGTTGGGCCTTCCTCATTTAGCCCACTCCCAAGAAGCCGAACGTCAACAACTACAAATATTTATCAGAAACTCCTTCATATTTTGTATATTTCACGTTCTCCGCCTACGACTCCCACACTCGTTCTCTCACTTTCTTATTTAAACTTTTTTGTTCTGACAAAAGCATATGCATATCTCATTACTGTTCTATTGGTCATACCACGTAAAATTGACTGCTCGATTCGAATTCATTTTATTTTTTCCTCCTTTTACCATAATGATAGGTTGATAACAATTAAATGTTTTTGACTGAATTTTCGGTATGGGCAAATGGTTACAGAACTTTAAAATTTTGAGATTGTGTTTACTACGACCAAGCTAATTTATTTTTTACATCACTGAGTGATTGCATTTTAGATTTTCAAAATTTTCGGTTTTAAAAAACAAATACAGTTTTTTTTTTGGTTAAAACAGAGCAAGTTGTTTACTCATAGTTTACTCATAGAAAGAAAGTTGTTCAGTACTCATATAGCTAACCGATCCGGTTTAGCTTAAGATAGAGAGAAGATGGAACGTGAGGAGAGAGGAAACCAATATTTTCCTATATAAGCAAAGCAGCAAGGTTCTTCTGCTACACACTGTTAATTCATTAGCTCCCTCTCCTCTCCCTATACGTTTGCAAAAGAGAAATGCCTCTTCCTCTCTCTTCTTCTCGTCTCATCGCCACATTTTTTGTTCTCCTTTTGCTTCTTTCCAATGGCTTCTCCTCCTCTTCTACTTCTTCTCTCAGTAGCCTCCACCTCGACAACCACAACTACAACGACGCTCTCACCAAATCCATTCTCTTCTTCGAAGGTCAAAGATCCGGAAAGCTTCCTCCGAACCAGAGAATGACTTGGAGGAGTAACTCTGGCCTCTCTGATGGCTCTGCCCTCAACGTAATGATACTATTTTCTTCGTTTTTGTTACCTTTCTTTTGGACAATGTGACGTGGGTTTGTTTTCTTTCTCCATGGTTTTTATTTAGTTTGACCAACATAGGTCATAAACACATTAAAAATCACAAAATATAAAACGAATAAGACAGAAAAAACCTTATTTGAAGCTTTTCATGAAAACTTGCCTTACCTTTATGGGTTTGATGTATAAAACATAGGAAAAAATCATTTATATTTGAAACTCTGTTATTGTCATAATTTTATAGGTTTATTTTCTCCACCAAAAGATTCAATATTTATGGGGTTTGTTGTATAAAACAGAGGAAAAAAAGTTGTTGGTTTGAACCTACTAATTTTGGTTAATAAGGATTAATTTTGTAGGTGGACTTGGTGGGAGGATACTATGATGCAGGGGATAACATGAAGTTTGGTTTTCCAATGGCATTCACAACCACAATGCTTTCATGGAGTTTAATTGAGTTTGGCGATCTCATGAACTCTGAGTTACCAAACGCTCAAGACGCAGTTCGTTGGGGCACTGACTTTCTCCTCAAGGCCACTTCACATCCCGACACCATTTATGTTCAGGTTCCTTAGTTTATATCCACTTTTCCAAAAAATTAAACTATGGGAAAAAGAGGAAGAAGTAGTTTACTTTATGATAGCGTTTTATATAGGTTGGTGACCCTAACATAGACCATGCTTGTTGGGAGAGACCAGAAGACATGGATACACCAAGGAGTGTGTTTAAAGTTGACAAGAACAATTCTGGTTCTGATATCGCCGGTGAAATCACTGCAGCTCTTGCCGCTGCTTCTATTGTTTTCCGGGAATGTGATCCTTCTTACTCCAGTCTCCTCCTCCAACGAGCCATTACGGTAAATAATGAAACAAAAAAAAAACATACTTATATTCAATCCTTATGGTTTTGTAAATATTCTGACATTTAATAACCATGTGGCATTTAAAATAATTTTGCCATTTAAAAATATTATAAATCTGAGCATTAATTAAATTGCGTTTATGGGTTTTTAAGGTTTTTGCATTTGCGGACGAGTACAGAGGACCCTACAGTGCAGGTCTGAATTCAGAAGTCTGCCCATTCTACTGTTCTTACTCTGGATATCAGGTTTCAAGTTTCTTATATTGGTTCTTTCTAAACAGACTAACATTTTTTTTTTAAATAGCCTATAACATTAATTTAAACAAATCTAAAATCCATCTGATTGGGGTCAGGATGAGTTGTTATGGGGAGCTGCTTGGTTGCACAAAGCAACAAGTAACCCAACATATCTCAGTTACGTCCAAGCTAATGGGCGAAACCTTGGAGCCGATGAGTTTGATAACATGTTTAGCTGGGATAATAAGCATGTTGGTGCCAGAATTCTTCTCTCCAAGGTTATAAAAGGAAGACACACTTATTTTCTTGTGATTTATGAGTTATGATTCAAAATATTTAACCATTTGATTCTTGATTTTCCTAGGAGTTTCTGATTCAGAAAGTGAAAGCACTGGAAGAGTACAAAGAGCATGCTGATAGTTTCATTTGCTCTGTTATACCTGGAGCTACATTTTCATCTTCACAATACACCCCAGGTTTATTACAATTTAATCCTTTATTCTCTCATTCATTTACATATTTGCCTATAATGTTCTCGTTTATTGCCTCTTACCCCCTCGAGAGTCATGGCTAGTTGGCTACAATTAATGGGTATTGTGTATTTGTTTTCATTTCATTCTGACTTAATTATGGTGACTCAACAACGTAATTGTTTCTTTTCAAATAATGCCTAGTAGTATTTGGGTTCACTGGGAAAATTCATTGAAGAGTGCATTGTATCTGTGTGTATGTATAGGTGGGCTGTTGTTCAAGATGGGTGCGAGCAACATGCAATACGTGACATCAACATCGTTCTTGCTATTGACCTATGCCCAATACTTGACATCTGCTCGCACCGTCGCTTACTGTGGTGGCTCCATCGTCACCCCCGCCAGCCTCCGCTCCATCGCTAAGAGACAGGTTCATCTTAAAAATTAATGTGTTACATTACATGCCTTTACGATATAGTTGCATTACATTATAGTCAAACTCAAAATCGATTAGAATTAAATAGGATTTGGTTAGTATTTGTTTATTATACAAAAATGTAACTGATACGTATGATTATATACGGCAGGTGGACTATTTACTTGGGGACAACCCACTGAAAATGTCGTACATGGTTGGTTATGGTCCGAAATATCCACGTCGGATACACCACCGTGGCTCATCCCTCCCCTCTGTCGCAGCCCACCCGACCAAGATCCAATGCCACGATGGCTTCTCCATGTTTAACTCTCAGTCTCCTAATCCCAACGACCTAACCGGTGCAGTTGTCGGTGGTCCGGACCAGTACGACCAGTTCCCTGATGAACGATCAGACTACCAGCGGTCCGAGCCAGCCACTTACATTAATGCCCCACTTGTTGGAGCTTTGGCTTATCTCGCTCGCTCCCTTGGCCAAGTCTAATTAAGCTGCATCCTAATAAACTAACCGTTGTTTTTATATAGATCTTATCTAAATGAGTAGCCAAGATGGTATGATGTAGTTTCAAAAAAAGATGGTATGATCCGACTGATATGTTTAGACGATGCGGTACTAATTAATTTAGTATTATAATTATATATTACGCTTTACTATCTATGTTCTTTTCTAATTTTTTTTTGGAAGAACCCATGCGAGAAAACAAAATATACGAAAAATATATTTGAACACAATGTTTGAAAGGTAAAACTCTATAGGAACATAAGTATTGGTAGGTTCATAGATTTTAACTAAAAACGTAATGTCCGTGAGATAGTAAACAAATGAACTTTTTACAAAACAGATTTTATCTCACTATCTCTGTTATGAGTTATGACAGACTCTGTTCAACAATTACCTAATTTTGTGTTAATAGATAAAATAATTAATAGATAGGACCATTTTTTAATTTTTAAAAAGCCATGGTTTTATAATTAATGCCAACCATGCCACCCTATAATGGTATATGGTGACAACAAAATTTGTGTTTAAACTTCAAATGAGAACGTACGTACACACAGTAGTCCCAGAAGTTATCAATCAAACGTCAAAACTATATTATAACATATTTACACAATTTATTCAAGCCTTTAGATGGTATGAAAATCTGAACTTTATATTATTGGGGGGGGGGTATTAGTCTGGATTTCAATATTAACAGTTTATAGTTACAAAGATACAAAAAACTTTGTTATTTACACAGAATTCGTTGAGGAAGAAACGAAAATCACGAACAAGTGGTACTAATTGCTTGCAGTTATAGATTGTTAATCAACCTAGTAATGCTGATCATTCTAAACCAGTTGATCAATATATTTGTTTTTCTTATATATGAAAATAACCGTGAATTCAGAACGTTATTACTTAACATTGGGTGGTCTGGTCAACCATCCCCGCAAAAGAAGATGCAATCACACACTATGACATTTCCCTAAAACATATTAAAATCCATAAATAGCAAACAAAAGCATCCTATAAAACACATCATGAAGCCTTCAATAATCAAATCAATATATATTTGTGTATACTTAAAAAAAAAGAAGAAAGAAAAAAAGAAAACAAATAAGATATTAATTATAACCATGGCTAGCGGAAGAAGGTGGCTTGCTAAGGTAAATGATAGTAAAGTAGGTTCGTTAATTCTAATGGCCGTAGTGTTTGGTTCTTGCCTGGTTAATGGTGAATACCTCGGCGGTCGCCGTGGCCTTTCCGGTAGTTCCGGCGCGGTCTTTGATATTACTAAGTTTGGAGCCGTGGGAGATGGTGCCACCAATACTTTCAAGGTAAGATTTCTTAAAATTTAGGGATGAGCTTGAGTTTCGCCTTATAATGTTTTGGTTATTAATTAGTAAATTACATGTGACAAAGAGTATTGATCCAATAATAAAGTATTTTCTGACATGCAATAATATGCATGCAGGCGTTTTTGAACGCATGGATCCAAGTGTGTGCCAGTACTGTACCGGCAACGCTACTAGTCCCTGCAGGAAAATACTTGGCTGGTCCAGTTATTTTCGCCGGTCCATGCAAGAGCAGAGTGACCGTCGAAGTTCAAGGCACCATCATCGCTACGACAAGTGGATTTGCGACACCCGAATGGTTCCTATTCGAGCGTGTCAACGATCTCCTTCTCACCGGAACCGGCACATTCCACGGCAAAGGTGAAGACGTATGGAAAGAAGGTTGCGGCAAAAAGACTAATTGCAATCTTCCTCCAACGGTAAGAATAGGTTAATCTACATATATATATATATCATTGAATGTTAAATATTTTTTACCAATCACTCGTACTTACGTACACATGCAGTCTCTAAAATTCAGAAACATGAGAAATCTTGAAGTCAACGGCATCACATCGGTCAACGCAAAAGCCTTCCACATGTTCTTGGTGAAAACCGAATTTGTCAACATCCGCAACATAAAGCTTATCGCGCCTGCTGAAAGTCCTAATACGGATGGTATTCATTTGAGCAATGCGGACCACGTTAGCATCACGAACAGTAAAATAGCAACAGGAGACGACTGTGTTTCAGTTGGTCGTGGTTCCAATAATGTAACCATCCAAGGTATTATTTGTGGTCCAGGACACGGCATAAGTGTTGGGAGTCTTGGTAAGTACAAGAACGAGGAGGACGTTAGTGGTATTCACGTTAATAACTGCACGATGATAGAGACCGACAATGGTCTTAGAATCAAGACTTGGGGTGGCTCAGGTCCAAGCAAGGCTGCAGACATTAAGTTTGTAAACATTCAGATGCAAAATGTCAAGAACCCAATCATCATTGACCAAAACTACGGTTCAAGAGGCGGAGTAAGTTATTTTGAATCATAACTCATAAGTCACCTAGAAAAAACTAAGTGTATATATAAATCTGAAACCCAAAGTCAAATTAATTTCTTATATTCAGTAACTTACCACATTCTATATTTATTTATTGTGTGTGAGTGTTTGTAGGATTCACAAGTTGCCATAAGCGATGTGTCGTTCTCCAACATAAGAGGAACAACAATTACACAAACTATTGTTCAGTTCAACTGCAGCAAATCGATACCGTGCTCAGGAGTCAACGTCGCTGACGTGAACTTAGACTACGTAGGCAAGACAGGTAAAACACAGTCGGCGTCCGGAGGTTCGGTTGGAGCTATTTGTGACAACGCTAAGGTTGTCTTTAGTGGAAAATTTAACTTCCCAACGTGTGCAAAATGATTTTTTATGGTATAAATAATTTAATAATGAAAAATCAAAAGTTTCACAAACGTTTGTTTCGTTTTGTGTTGGTTAGTTTGGAAATTTATCAACAAAAATACGCATTAGAATATCTGACTTTTGATCATGTTGTCTCCTATTTTCATATTTTTATTTTTACCTTGGAGGTAATGTATAACAGAGGGGACCTTATGGCCTAACAAAAGGAGGTCCTTAGGCATTAGGGTCCACCAAAACAGTAAGAGCAACTCCAATGGTGTTACTCACCATTGGAGTCCTTAGAAATAGAATAATGTTTTTTTTTTTTAAATAGTTAAGGATTTTAATCATAAGTATAAGTCCAATGGTGTTATCCATTGTAGAGTTCTTAAAAAAAAATTCTTTTTTTTTTGAATTGAATCTTACAAATTAAAAACATCAAGAAACAAACCATGTTTAAGTTTCCATTAGTCTGGTTCTAAATCAAAGAAGGGTGCAGAGATTACTTGTTGGCCAAGAGAAAGGATTACATAAGGATCACTAGTCATCACATCTCGAACCGCAAGGTTTGTTCCTTTAACCACAATAACCTTAATCAATCCGACAAACTCAACCATCACTGCCTATAAAAAGACACCCACAATAACCTAACATTAGCAACATTCATTAACAAAAACATGTATGCCATGTATAAGTATACTGGTTTTTACCAGAGAATTGCTCTTCTTTGGCATTTGTGATCAGATTCTCTTCTTCCCCAGCTATTCCTAAGAGCATGACCAATACGGTTTTTCGCAGAACGGGAAGAACACAACGTCGGTGGTGGATTGTTTATTCTACTAGGCTGCTGAATAGGGCACAAAGCACTATCTTTTGGATCCATAAAATGGTCTAGCTCATATTTCTTCCTAGTTTTTCCTGAGATAACCACAATCTAATCATAATGCATATAACGGTATGCATACAGATTAAATCAAGTTGCAACCAAAAGAAACTCAAAATTAGACACAAATAATTGTGCTCAAATGCTAAAAGGCCCCTAAAATTTCTACTCAAACAATTCTTCCACGAAACATGAATACTGCATCAAGTTCACAAACTAACCAAACCAAACAAGAGCAAGATAGTTTAGAACTCTAACAACCACAAACAGAAACAACATGTTTACCTTTACCCAATAACGCTTACTAAGATTCATATTACAAAACAAAGAGCTTCACTCATGGACTACAAAAGGGACACATATAATCAGACATAAATAAAATTCACAGATGCAAAACCAAAAAGACTTCAAGATCAGTCACCTTATCAAACTGAACAAGAACTTGGATGGCTAGCTCAGGGCTCAAGTACCACTCTGAACCATCTCATCCAAAGTCTCCGTCAAACACATCCCTATCGTCGATCTCCTTTATAGCTCAAACGTTGCCATTATCTAACCACCTACAAAATCCCAGCAACCTCAAAATCGTCGAAATCAAATTTTGCAACTCAATAAATTAATAGGGAATCTGAAAAGTCCTGACAAAGATCACAATAGAAGACGGAGATGATGAGAAAAATAGAGACGATTGTACCGATTTACTGTGACGAAAGAAGGATGGGTACCGTTGGATCGATTTGCGAAGGACTTTCTTCTCTTCGAGCGGAGAAAAAAATTTGGGTCGATTTACAACATCGTGAGATTGATGATAAGAAGATTGAATTGAAAAACAAAGAAAACTAGAGGGTTCTTCGACGACGATGAAACCAATAGCAGAAGGAGAAGACAGATATCAGAGAAAACAAGAAGAAAACGGTAACAGAGGTGGATATGTCGATAGAATATGACTGCCAGCTCATTAAGGACTAAATCCTTAAACATCTTCACTAAGGATTCATCCTTAGCCGATGAGATTTTTTAATATTAATTTAACCCTTAAACGGCTAAGGAATACCGCTAAGGATCCGTGGTGTTACCGCGTTGTACGTGCTCTAAGCCCCGACGCCTGTAGTGTTTATATAAGTGTTCGGCTTTTGTTGGTGCTTCAACTATTTGCAGGCTCCATTAACACGTGGCGACCCGCGGTTGATTACTTTTAATTTTCTTTTTAATTTGAAAAAATAAAAATCTAAGCACTTTAATTGAAATCCACAATAATACTGTTCTTAAGCTGTCCTTGTTAGAAATTTGGTCTAGGAGTATTACTGTATAATGTATACACACCTTTTTCTTACAATAGAATTACTCTAGTTAAAGGTACTAACTGAAAGAGACAAAAAAAACATCAAAAGATGTTTATAAATTGAAATGCCTGAGCAAAAATCTTGACATTTGACTGTAAAAAGAAATAGAAATATACTAATTCTCTAGTGTTTGTTGAAGAAAACAACACAAATACGTGAAGAGTATTGTTAAGAGGCTTATAATGGGCTTTGAAGAAAGAATGTTTAGTTTTTAATTGAAAGCCCAAATGTAATTCTTATAGAGAGTAGAAACCCTAGAGAATTAAAGATGTATATATAAACTCTATCGTCTGCTCCGAGAAGCAGTTCCTCTCCGCCACACCAAATCTTCCAGCGAAAATGGTGTCTCTAAAGTCCCAGAAGCGGCTCGCCGCGTCGGTGATGAAGTGCGGGAAGGGAAAAGTTTGGCTCGATCCGAATGAATCGGCCGACATCTCCATGGCCAACTCTCGTATGTTTTGCTTTTCTCTCTCTTTTGTTACATTTTGTTATGTGTTTTGTCTGTGTTGCGACGTATAGTAGAAACATGAGTTAGTTACTTAGGTTTTGTAGTGTAATCTGATTCCCTTTGTTGAATCACTGTGTCTCCTTTTGCTGATCTGATCTAAAGCTCGTAGTTAGTTATTACAGCTGTTTGGTTTTATTACAAATTCTAATTTAATTACGGTTTGTCTGTTCATGTGTAAAATCTTATTACTAGCTCTAATTTTGATTCTGATTGGTTATGGATAAAAAAATGATTAGGACAAAACATAAGGAAGCTGGTGAAGGATGGTTTCATCATCAGGAAGCCAACGAAGATCCACTCTCGCTCCAGGGCTCGTCGCATGAAGATTGCCAAGATGAAGGGACGACACTCTGGTTACGGTAAGAGGAAGGGTACACGTGAAGCTAGGCTGCCGACAAAGGTGCTTTGGATGCGTAGGATGAGAGTTCTAAGGCGTCTTTTGAAGAAGTACAGAGAGTCGAAGAAGATTGACAAGCACATGTACCATGACATGTACATGAAGGTGAAGGGTAACGTCTTCAAGAACAAGCGTGTGTTGATGGAGAGTATCCACAAGTCCAAGGCTGAGAAGGCCAGAGAGAAGACTTTGTCTGATCAGTTTGAGGCTAAGAGGGCTAAGAACAAGGCTAGCCGTGAGAGGAAACATGCTAGGAGAGAAGAGCGTCTTGCAAAGGTTTATAACTAAACTTCATTACTGTAATTAAAAATATTTCTTTTGAGTTTGCTTATGCATATACTTGAATATTGGTTTGTGGTGTAGGGTCCTGGAGGAGATGTTGCCCCTGCAGCCGCACCACCAGCTGCTGCTGCTACTACTGCTCAAACCGCAGAGTAAGTCTGATCTCAGTGGTTATATCAATTTTGAGTTTTTGTGTTGAATCGATTAACATGTACTAATTCATTTATTGGCTTTTTTGCTTGTGTAGGGTACCAAAGAAGAAGTCCAAGAAGTGAAGAGGATTTAGTGAAGATCATTTTACTTGACTTGGAAGTTTTTTGAATGTTTTATCAAGTTGTTTTTGTTGAAATACTTTCTTTACCTGAAAAACTCAAGTTATGCCAGTTAATTGTTATGCTTTCACCTTTTAAGAGTCTCTATCTCACTTAATTGTTATGCTTCCACCCTCTAGTTGCATCAGTATTTGTGTAATTTAAAGGTATCATCACTTTGTTTACCGATTAGTGAAGGGTTTGCTGCCTAATTTAACTAAAGGACTTTGAATCACGTATTAATCTTTTGTTTCACAAAAGGACTTTAAATCACTGGTAGTGACGTTATAGAAGGTGCTTTCCTTATTGCTGGTAGTGTGATAAAATACGATCGTTTCGACCTTGCATTGCAGTGGTCTTTCCTCTATGGTTAAGGCATATCCTTTTGTAGCCTCTTTTTGCTTTTTTCCCTTTGTTCTTGGTTAATTTCTTTCTCCTTTGGGTTGTTTCTTATGTTGTAATCTATCCAAAAAAAAAGATGAATAAAGCTTTAATAGAAACTGGGGTGGGGTTCTTTATTATCTAGAAACAGCTGAGCTGCAGTGAAAAAGAGTCTTTCAGGTTCCATCAAAAATATTAAACGCCCACCGTGGGGCTCGAACCCACGACCACAAGGTTAAGAGCCTTGCGCTCTACCAACTGAGCTAGACGGGCTTGCTGACTGTCTAGCACTTGTTCCTACTTTACCGCTTGAAACTACAGTTTAGGCTTAGCTTCAAGTATTTGGGACAGGTAAGTGTGAAGGCAAGAGCTTTGAAAGGACAGAGCTCCTACTGTACAATAAGATTCTTGCGCAGACAAACTGAAAATGCATTTGGCTTATATATTACCAAGACTAAACCTACTTTAATGTCTGAGAAACAGATAAAACAGAACTGGATAGACTTACAACAATGCCAATGATTTGGCTTTCCATCTTTATTTTGCTTTTTCCATCTCAGAAGAAGTCGGATCCATCATCAAACATGGCTGACGACAACAGTCCCTGTACAAACTCACACTTCTTTGCCTTCTCTAGCTGTTCGGTATCCGACAAAGGTGTTGAAGATGTCTTGTCTTTTCCTGTAGAGGAAACTTCAATCAACGTCTTGTCTTCTACACTTGAATCAACCTGCACAGGCTTGGTTTGCTTTGGCAATGGAGAATTGTCGAGGAAAGATAAAAACTGGTCTGCAACAACGGCTTTAGAAGTACGATGATGATGACTGATAGATGGCGGCATGTCATCGTGAAATGATTGAAGATATTTGTCTGATGAGTAAGGATCTTCCATGTAAGATGCCTGCTTCTGATCACTGTAAGGTTTTGTCAAGGAAACTCAAATAAATTGGATTCATTCATTACAGAGACAAAAAAAAATTGGCTTAAAGAGATGTTTGTAAATGAAAAAAGGATATCTTCAAGACATCTCTATGATATGTGGTTATATGATCCACCATGTGCATCTTCACCCTTTTGCTACAAACCGGACATACCTACAAATCACATACAACCAATCAATCACACAATCTAAAAACATTCACCTCTAAAGTAAGTATATAAAGTCAAACAAATGTTCCATCAGGTAATATTCATTTCCTGAAATCGTTAAAACCTGATCAAAGCTTCAAACGGTGAGTTTTGTAAACTCAAAGAGTAGAGTCCAAGATCAAGTGATATGTTTCTCATTTGGAAACCACTTTCAATTTGATTCTTAAGCAACAATCTAAATACTGCTACGCAATTAGAAGACTGAGTGGCCATGTTTCCTCACAATCCTACTCACTAAACCAAGTATCTGAACCTTTCAATCAATATCTAATAGTAATATTAGTAAATGATATGAAGAGGGGATGTGAGTTTTACATACCCCATGGGTAGCTTCAAGCTGATGTTCTTCATCGATATGGTGACACAACTCTACTAAATCATAATCATCGGAGCAAAACGGACATGGATAATCCTCCACTTCAGCATCATCATCATCATCATATTCTTCTTCTTCATAATCTCCCGAATCTAGATAAGAACCTGAATTTTTTAGGAAGAAAAAAAAAAGTCTTTTTTGTAAGTAAACGTAAAGCTTCAACCTTTCTTAACAACAAAGTACACAAAAGAGACTCTAAAGACACACAACCAAACCCAATTCAGACCCATCAACCCTAAAGACGAATTTTGACCCTAAATAACAAAAATTAGAAATTGATTGAAGAGGATTTAGGATAATAACCAGATTGATATTTAGCAGCTGTTGTTGCTGATCGATAGCTTCTCGAAGAGCCAGAAGAGGAAACAGCCCACATCTCGTCTTCCATCTCCCGATGCAGAACAAAACTTTGAAATTAGGTTAATTTAAAGTTTGTCGTCGCCGTCGTGTGGTTAACTAGCACATGTCTGCTGCTTCAGACTCTTGTTAATCCCTAAGGAGAGGACATTTTTATAAATGGAGCGAGACTTCGTGGACAAGAATACGCGGATTTTCTAAATTACCAAACTATCCTTCCACTGAAAAAGAAGAACACAATCTCAAGTCTCAACAACCGACTCCCTTTTTGTAGACTTTTCAACCTCATTTGTAGACAAGTGGGTGTTATTTTGATAAAAACTTAAATGGGCTTCCTTAAAGAAAGGCCCAAATATAAAGGCCCATTAGTTAACGAAATTTGATTATTCTTCCTTCCCGTCGCGTCGATTGGAAAAAATCCCAATTTTCCCGGAAACATTGATACCTCGTCGAGATTCGACGATCGTCTTTATCTATTTCTTTCCATCTTTTACTTTTTCACTCTCTTCACTCTTCTTCGCCCTTCATTTCCCACATCTTTCTGATATGGCAAACTCTACCGCGAAAGATGATTCCGCCACGGAGACGGATTCTAGGACACGACGGGGTTCTGTCTCCGATATTGAGTCCAACACAAATTGCGACGGAGTCGTCTTGCCTCCTCCTCCTTCTGCGGACTTGAGTCGATTTGAAGAAGGAGAGAAAGTTTTAGCCAACCACAAGGGTCGCTTCTATGAAGCCAAGGTAAATGTTAAATTGGGGTTGTTAGTTTCTCTACACTTTTGTGTGTGTGTGTGTGTGTGTGTGTTTTTAATTAAGTTTGATGTTTGTTTGTGTGTTTGCAGGTTCTTGAAATTGCTTATAAAGACAATGAATGGAACTATTATGTGCATTACCCTGTAAGTAAGATTTTATTTTGTTTGCATAACCACAAACAAATCAAAACTCATTTATTGATAAAAATACTGCAGTTACTATATTTTGCCGTTTTCAATATGTAATCTTTTTTTTTTATTGCTTTTGATTTTTTGCAGGGTTGGAACAAAAGGTTGGTGAAGCTTCCGCCTTTTTATTGCATCATTTGTCTGAGTAATTATTCTATTGTTGTTTCATTGTATCATCGGTCTGAATAATCATTCTCTTGCTTAAGCAATTTTTTTTTTTGCCAAGATTACAATTGTTTTTTGTTTCTAATGCATTGATTGTTTCAGGGTCTGATTTTTTGATTGTTGTATCTCTTTGTAATGACAGTTGGGACGAATGGATAGGTCATGATTGTGTGTTGAAACACACCGAAGAGAATATTGAGAAACTGGGTATTAAGCAAGAAGTTAAGAGTGCTATGGCTTGGAAAGTATCCAAGATGAAACCTAGATGCCCTAGTGGTCAGTGTTCTAGGCCTTTATAGATCATATGCTAGACATTATCATCATTTTCTTTTAAAATATATTTTGCAGTTGCTAGAGGCAGAAAGAGGAAGCAAGATTCTGTTGATGCAGTAGTCTCTTCAACGGTGGATTTTCCTTCATTTTCCCTATTTTATATAACAAGTTTATTTCTATTGTTTTCTGATCAGGAGAGAGTTTTACCTGATTTTTTGTTGTTGTTGTATGATGAATACAGGAGGAGAATATGGTTCCTACCGATAACCTTTTAACTCTAAATATCCCAAAAGCGTTGAGGAAGCAACTAACTGACGATTGTGAATTCGTCACTCAGATGCAAAAGGTAACTCTCGATTCATTAGGTCCATATGTTATGGAATTGATCAGTGACATTTTTTTGGACATTGTGTGAGCAGCTTGTGGAACTTCCTCGCTCTCCTAATGTGGATGAAATTTTGAAGAACTACGCTGACTGCAAATTGAAGAAACATGGCAGGTAAGGGCTTTGTTGCTCTTGTTATTGTCATTTCTTCAGCTGAGTTAGTCCAGCGTTGTGACGCTTTTTTTTTGGGTGAAACCTGCTATATAGGGTAAGTGATTCAGTAGAGGAAATTCTGAAAGGTTTGCGTTGCTACTTTGACAAAGCTTTGCCGGTGAAGTTACTTTACAACAATGAACGGAAGCAGTATGAGGAAATCGTAGCTGGGGGTGTATCTCCCTCAACTGTGTACGGAGCAGAACATTTGTTACGACTGTTTGGTAAGGCCCTTTTCTTTGTAATCAACATGCTGAATGTTGCCTTTTATGTGTGGTTAAGTTCTCATGAAACTTGTGGAATCAAACACCACAGATAAGACCTTATTATCTTTCATATTGAACCCTAATGAGGTTGAGTTTGCAGTGAAATTGCCGGAGTTGCTGATTCGTGTGACAATGGCAGAAGAGACATTGAAGGAATTGCAGGACGAGTTTGTTGATATTCTAAGGTTTGATTTCTCGTCTTCTTGATCACAAATATTAAAAAAAAAAAAATCTTCTTTTGTATCTTAAAAACAAATGATTGTAGGTTCTTGAGGAATAACCAGAGTACGTTATTTGTATCAACATACAAAGCGGTTGAAGAAGTGGAGAAGAAAGATATCTAAGGACCTCGTTTCTAGATGATGATGGATGTTACTGTAGTAAGTATATGCAGTGATAATTATATCTGTTGTTTAGTATGTTATGCGAGAGAGCCAGTTTTTCGTTTCTAAGTATAGATTCGGTCTGTTGTATAATGAAAATGAACATCGTTAATCAACGTCTACTGCAATTGCCGAGCTGTTGTCGATTATTGTGTGTTTGCTTTGGTATTATATTAATCCTCCTTCTAGGGACTATGCTTAATAATACAGTTACAGTTCTCCCTTATTTATAGGGTTTCCTGTTGTTTGTGGTGCAAGGGATATGTTCATTGTTATCATATTTTATGAATATAGTTTTTCCTAAATAACTAGTTCCAGTTTCTTACTTAAGAGTAATGATTAGTAAATGTATTTAAACGTACAAGTTACTTGTGGATTGAAGAATGGAACAGAATAAAAAAAAAGCTAAAATTATTGATTTAAAGAAATGTTATGCAAAATATTTATTTATTTATCTAGCATAAAATATATATAGTAGCCAGTACACTAAAATTCAAAATCGGCGCGCCAAGTCACTGCAATCGAACAGAGTTTACCGGTGAGAAGGTCAAAAGCTCTAACAGTGGTCAATGCGAGTGTATATACAAGTCATACGGTTCCCACAATGAGTCTAAAGGACAAGGAAGCTTAGAATCAAGCCTAGACCATGGCTTACCACTACCCGACCAATGTAGCAAACTCACAGGACCATCATGCATATCACGGCAACTACCTTTAACCTTATCTCCCCCAAGTCCATGCTGATTCCACCGATGCGAAATCGGAGCAAGGTGACCAGCGAACACAAGAAGATACGCAGGAAGAGAACCCAACTCATAAATCCTCTCCACCTTCTGAATCTCCATCCACTTCTCAATCGTTTTAGTGTAACCAAACCTCCTCCATTTCTTCAAATCAATCACCATCACTCCCGTGTTGAAGTAACAAGGCTTCCTCCCTTTAAACGTCTCGTTATACCTCTCATCGAACCAAAACGCACCGTTGAAATAATCCGTGAAATTCGCGTGGCAATACTCCGGAGCCCCGATCGTGCTCGGACCTAGACCCGTTTCCCAGAGCTTCACGATATCGTCGATAACGACGATATCCGAGTCCAAGTATATGACACGGTTGACACAAGGCTCGAGCAGCTCCGCGAGGTAGTTCCTCGCGTAGTTTAGCGGCTGCTCGAGCGCTTGTCTCACTGAGGGAGCGATCAAAGACTGAACCCTCTCGGGGGCGAAATAGTAAATTTTTAAATTCAGTTTCGGGAACGTTGTTCGGATCACGGATTCGAGGCTTGTCTCGGAGACGAGGAAGTGGAAGAAGATGCTCTCCGGGCAAGATGAGTGTTGGAGGATGGAGTTCACGGCTGCGATGGAGCCGCGGAGGTAGAGGAAGTCGAGAGTGATTGCCACGTGGACGTAAGAAGGGTTGCAGACGCCGGAATCAGTGTCGGAGAATTCGAATCTGCATTGGTCTGCATTAAGGAGTATTGGAGATTCTCTGTATGAGAAGTTGCGGGGGGAGTGGTCGGAGGGTGATGGTCTGAAGTAAGCGTCGAGATGGGATGATCGGATTGCAGCCGCCGGAGAAAACGACTGAAGTGATGGAGAGAGGAGGATCACCGCTAAAGCAGCGGAGAAGAAGGCGGAAAATTCTGTAAACCAAAGCATCGCGTAAGTACGTCCTTTAGTTTTATAGCTCAAGGCTCTATGTAGACTTTAGTTGAAGGGAGAAGAAGACAGAGAGGAGGAAGACAGTGTTGTAGACTTGTGTAGTTAACTGTTCTTTATATACACCTTTTCATTAATGATGTTTCAATTAATAAACTTCATATATCTAAGATTAAATCTTTTTCTTTATGTCCTCATTTTAACATTTTGTTATGATTTTTTGGATTTGTTTTACTATAAAAAGCTTATTATTATAAAATCAAAGAGAGGAAGTGAGATGTATTCTAATTTTTAAAGATTGAAAAAAATTTATGCTATATGTTTTTTAAAAAAATAATGAATGAATTCATATATTAATTAAAATATTTAAAGTGGCTTGCCGACAAATTTTTTTTCGAGGAAGGAGACTTTTACATTCGATTTCTTTGTAGTATAATGGTATTAATAAAAAACATATTCTCATGGTGTTAAAAAGAAGAAGATTATAACTTGTGAATTCGTTATATAAATTTATTGACCGTTGATATTACACTCTAAAAAGATTTTGAATAATAGAGAGTTGGTCACTGGTGTTGGGAATTGAGATTAACATATAATGACGTTGAAGGTTTAAATCTATGCTATTAATTAAAAAATAAAAATGTTAACCTTGGAAATGAACTCCCGCCAAATTAGTAAATTGGAGTTACAAAATAGAATCTTAAAATAATGTCACAGTTGCGATACTGTTTCTTGCCAAGCTTAATTAGACTTAGGATTATGTAGCCTGAACAAGTAATCTATATAAGTATATATGTTTCATCGCCCTCTTCTTCGGCCCAACGCGACTGAGGATTTTGACAGCTTTCTCGTAAAATCTCAGTATTATCATGACTCTGAAGATTCTCGACATCTTCTCCAAACCTTCAGTGTTCTCAATCATCTGTACTGTACGTAGTTTTAAATTTTAATTATAGTTAGTTTTAGAGATTGCCACAAGCTTTTGATTTCGAATCTCCACGTCTGAAAAAAAAAGGAAATGGCGCGAAGTTTAAATACTGACCAACTTCTTTTTTTTTTATAACAAAATACTGACCTAACTATCTCTTAACTTTATGATTAATTAATAGGCTTTTATGATGCATAGACATAGTGCAGCCCAATCAAAAGTCTAGGTTAGATTGTTTGTTTTTTTTCTTATCATCAATCACGATTGTGGCTATTCCATGCAAGAATAATCTGCCTCAAAACATGGTTACATGGAACTTTTTTTTTTTTTTTGATAATCCAGTATCCGACCACTAAGCGTGATTAACTAGCCCACCGGGCTTAAGTTCATGCTATTACAGAATTTTTAAACCTCCACTTAAGGACCCTTGGTTATGCGAAGTGGTCTGGAGGTCGAGAGCAGTCCATGTGAATACCCTCATGGCCCGGGCAAATGTTTGCAGCTGTGGGGATTCGAAGCCAGAGTATTGAGGCCGAAGCTCTCTCAGCTGGACATCGTCCCACCACTAACCCACTTGCGCGGGTTGGTTACATGGAACTTGCACTACATTGACCATATGTATGTGTATTTCATAAGTTTTTTTTCTTATAAAACGTTGCCAATGTATATTCAATATAAGAAGAAACAAAGCTTTCCTTATGAATGAAAAATACACAACAAAATCTATGAGAGGACACGGTTGGGTGGAAAGTAAAACAATCTAGACAGCCGTAAGACATTATTCAACGGCAGCGCAACTAAAAAAATCACACCTTCTCTCTTAAGTTTTAAGCTTATTTTAATACAAGTCTCTGATTATTTCTACAATAATTATTTGATTACAACGAAGGTTCAATTGTATGTACTTAAATCTCTATTATACTTGTACAATTATTAATCAAGCCCAATCATTCAAAATTGATTGTTAATTAATGCTTCAACTTATTAAGTTTAAGTATTGACCAGATCATAAGGTATTCTATTACGATTTTGCGGGTGGGTAAAGGTTTGTAAGATTTCTTTGATGTATCAGTATCACATTTACTTATAAAACAACTGTAAAGGACTGACCTCGATTCTTCTTTACTTCTTTTGTTACGCGTCAAATAACGCTCAAAACGATCTAAACAGCAAAGCAAGTTCAGAATGGAAAGTACTGATTCCACCAGTGATTTGTATAGTCTTTCATTTTAAGAGTAAAACCAACCAAACAAAATATACTTGAGACAATTAAGAAACAAACAAAACGGCTAAAACAGCTCAGATCTTGCCCGCGTACAGCCCTGAAAGGTCCCACTTGAAATCCATTCTTATGAAATAAGTTTCTGTTGTCCATAAACAACTTTATTTTATTGAATATTTATGTGTAAATTTCTATGTTTCCGCGTCGACAACTGCAAAAAGCTGCTTTCCTTATGTATATATACACACATAAACTTCTTCCATCAACACAACAATCACCTGAAGACCCAAAGAAGCAACACAAAAGGACTTATAATAGCTTCCATCTCAGATCTCAAACAAATTCATAAAAAAAACAAGAAGTATTCATGGGGGAATCAAAGAAGAAAAGCAGATCAGTCACAACACAAAGAGCTTGGAGTCTTGTAAGAATGGCTCTTCTATGGGGAAGAAAAGGTGGCATCTTCAAGAAATGGCACATGTTCGAGCTACGTAACTTGGTCTCCAAGCATCTCAAAGCCCTAGCTCATCATACAAACAGCATTGATAACGGCCGTTATCTCGGTGAGAAACAACTCTCTTTCGACGAGACCCCGATCTTTAACGTTAAGATGCATCGTCCTGCTTCCATGAGGTTCCTCTTGCCTTGCATTGCTCCTCCCGTTGACTTTGATTGCGACTTTGAATTGGATGGTGAAGATGATAGCGATGATATTAGATCCTACGGCTACTATAATGGTCCGTGCAATGAGAAATGTGATTGTGCGTCTCAGGATGATCATGAGGAAGAAGAGAAAGGGGTGGATGCGAGAGCAGATGAGTTTATTGCTAATTTCTATGAACAGATGAAGTTGCAGAGGCAAATCTCTTATTTGAGATACAAAGATCACAATGACGTTGCGGTATGCTATGATTGATAACAAAAGGGTTTTCTTTCTTTTTTATTTATTTATGAAGAGATGTTTCTCTTCTTAATTAATTATCATTATTTTTCTTTTCTTTTCAATTTTGATGAAATACATTACATGCAAGAACAAGAAATGGTGAATGCTATATCACAGATTGTTAAGCCATTTCTCATACCAATATGATGAAAACTACAGTTTCTAATAGAAACTTTCTCAACTTACATTTTTGGGCCTATATATGTACACAAAATAACTTTTGGTTGTTATTCATAGCAAGAGATCCTTATTCGTCATCATGAGAACATTCACTCGCCGGGTAAAATGAAGTTTACGTAAATTTCAGTTTCATTTCCACTTGGTGATAATATTGTTTTACAGTCTTGATTTTAAATTATACACCACTGACTAGCTTCAAGAAGGGTTAACCCAATAAAAACAAAAGTTGGCTGATAAGAAAGAAGGATCATTCGAGTTACTTATCTTCTCGTTGACATCAAAAACTTTACGAGGTTGCTCTTCAGCTCTTCTTGCGTTGCAAAAAGTTCCCTACAGCGGCTAAGTTTTAGAAAGTTCTCCATAAAACCAAATCAAAGAACACAAAAACAATAGCCCGCCTCAGTGTTTCATTTGAGTAATTTACCTTGCAGATAAAATACAAGAAGTCATCATCAACTAGTAGCCTTCCTCGCATTGAGCCAATCTCTTGAGCCTTAGAGCATCCACATCAATGAACCATCTCTTGGAGTTCATTGATTCAATTTTTTAATATTAAAATTTTTCTTTTTTCTTTTATTAAAAAAAAAAAAAAATGACGAATCGCGGACCGTCACGTGTCCCGGGACCCGCACTATAGTAGAGAACCAGGTTCACTGCAGAGAACTCTTAAGAGGCAGATTCATTACTATTCACTATTTTAATATTTTTTTTTTTGAAAAGCGTGTGAACCCCATCTGAATCCTTGATGGGGGTGCTCTTAGTGTCCTTAACAGTTCAAGTTGGGAATTGAAAGCCATTCCAATATTTACATACATAACAATATAAATTATTGAAGTTGAGCCGTTGAGCTTGGGACCTTAAACATATAAAGAACTCAAGATTGAAGTGTTTCATCGGATGGTTACCCTAAGATTATCAAGTTATTATCAAAGATCAAGTCAAAATTATATAAAAGTTCAATAATGTGCCCAGAGGTCGACAAGTTCATACTACATGACGTTTATATTTTGATTCTCAACATGCATATATCTACATATACATTTGAATTATATGATGATAATCTGAATGGGGGAACAAAATAAACAAGAAAAGAAGACTCTAATAGTTTCGTTTCGTGCTTTTTGGATTTCATTTTGGACATTACCTCACGAAGAAGCAACAAGACATGCACAAACACACAACAAAAGTAAAAGACAAATCGCATTGAGCATTCTGATGATCTGATCCCGCTACGTATGCAATTGGATAGAACCCAAAATCTTGGAACACGTCACATTGTTTGTCCACCTATATCCATTTACACATTACTCAGACTATGACGTGGCAGTCTTTCACCTTGTCACGGTGGTCCCACGTGGGTATCTAGGAAACTTCCATTTAAAACTTTATTAACTTTGAAATATTTTCTATCATTTGTAATAAATAAAGTTAAACTCTATAACATATAGAATATATTATAAACCTTATAATTACGAAGGTGTTGTTTTGAAACTAAATAACTTACAGTATTTTCAACAAAATGAAGTTGAATATGAAATGAAATACTATAAATATTTCCCTGATGATAATTAAAAAATGTTTGGATTTCCTTTTCTCAAGTCGGCAAATAGTCTGACCCAACTCGACTACCCCTTCCCTTGATGGGCCCTATTGTGGGGTAAAACGTGTTGGTTGGATAACTCACGCGTATTACACGTCTGTATGTTTAAACTAAACGACACCGTTCAACGCTTCATTTTATATTTTTTTTCTTTCTAATTCGTTTCCCTTGATATTAAAATATCGCAAAAGAGAGGTAGTAGTCAAAAAGAAATCTCAAAAGAAAATAAAAAAGTCGTCTTTTTCTATTTTTAAAGAAACGAAAATATAGAACAAAAAGTTGTCTCACAGAGAAGTTTCGTCTCTTGGGAGAGAGATCTGATCGGCTCATAAAACAATTCTTTCGTCTTCCTTTTCTTCTAAATTTTCTCAAATTCTAAATCTTTTCTGTGGAATAGAATTCACATTCCAATTTTTTAAAGATCTTTAATAATTTGAACTGTGAATAAGAATCCCTCCCAAAGGAACAGAAAAAAAAAAATCTAAAAGCATTTCTTTTTTTATTAAGGAGAAAACAAAACAAAAGATGGATAGTTTGTGTCTGAATACAAGCTTACACGGCGTCATTCCAGCGATCAAAGCGGTTGGAAGCGGCATAAGCGGTTGCGGTGGAGTTGTCGAAGTTAGAGCAAACGCAGCGGCGCCATCGCGCAAAAGAGGACCTTTTGGATTCTCTTTCAAGCACCCATTGACGCCGTTTTGGTCTCGCGGTGGTGGAATTGCGTCGAGGAGACGTAGCGGCTTGGCTTTGGACGACGCCGTTTTGGTTGATTCGAGAACGCCAATCGCAGAGGAAACGCCGGCGGTGGAAATGGAGACGGAGAGGCGAAATGGGAGCTGGGTTTTGAAGATTTTAGATGTGCAATCTTTGTGGAGAGACGGAGAGGTAATAGTAGAAGAAGAAAAAGAGGAGGATGATGAAGATGAGGAAGAAGAGGTGAAGGGGGAAGCAAACGACGCCGTATCACCTGAAGAGGAAGATGGTGGATGTGATGTATGTTACGAAGAAAACAAATTTAAGCTGGACAGAGACTCATTCTCTAAATTGCTGAAAAGGGTTTCCTTGCACGAATCAAAACTTTATGCTCAAATGTCATATCTGGGAAACTTGGCATATTCGATTTCTAAAATAAAGGTTCCGACTTTTAACTGTGTTCTGTTTCGTTTCTTATGTTTCTTACATTATTTTTTTTTTGTATATTGATATATTCTCTTCATTCAGCCTGCGAATCTCTCCAAGTATTACGGTCTTAGGTTCGTTACTTCATCAGCTGAGAAAACAGAGTTGGCTCTAAAGGCTAAAGTTTTAAATGAGACCAAACCAAAGGAGGAAGAAGAAGAAGTTAAAGGCGGAGAGGAGGAGAAGGACAAAAGTCGAAAGATTAGTGCTTCTGCTGCATATGAGATGGTTGCATCAGCTGCTTCTTACCTCCACTCTCGCACCAACAACATTCTTCCTTTCACTTCCTCATCCAAAAACGAAAATTCAGACAAAAGGGACGAGAATTCATCGTCAGAGGTTGCTTCTTGTTTGACCGATTCTGTTACTTCTGTTGTTGCTGCTGAAGAAGATGTGAAACAAGCCGTTGCTGATGATTTGAAATCAACAATCTCCTCTCCTTGCGATTGGTTTATATGCGACGATGATCAAACTCTCACTAGATTCATTGTCATTCAGGTAAGAAAACAAGAAAGTTCAAATCCTCAAGTTTTTTCTAGATTTCATTCTCTTAATGTTATGAACTTTGCTTATAGGGATCTGAGTCTCTAGCTTCTTGGCAAGCAAACCTACTCTTCGAACCAATCGAATTCGAGGAACTAGGTGTGATTGTTCACAGAGGAATATACGAAGCTGCTAAAGGAATGTATGAACAAATGCTACCTGAAGTCAAATCCCACTTCAAAACCCACGGAAACAGAGCTAAGTTCCGTTTCACCGGACATTCACTAGGAGGAAGCTTATCTTTACTACTAAACCTAATGTTACTTGTTCGAGGCCAAGTACCTGCTTCTTCTCTACTCCCTGTTATAACATTCGGTGCGCCTTTTGTACTATGTGGAGGCGACGGTCTTCTCAAAAAGCTAGGCCTTCCTAAAAGCCATGTTCAAGCTATTACAATGCACCGTGACATTGTCCCAAGAGCTTTCTCTTGTAACTACCCTTACCATGTAGCAGAGCTTCTCAAAGCTGTAAACGGCAACTTCCGTAGCCATCCTTGTCTCAACAAGCAGAGTATGTTGTATTCTCCCATGGGAGAGCTTCTGATCCTTCAGCCTGATGAATCATTCTCTCCCGGACACGAGCTTCTTCCTCCGGGAAACGGTTTGTATCTTCTTGAAGACACGGAGGAGGAGGAAGAGAGGTTAAGAGCCGCGCAGACGGTTTTCTTGAACACGCCGCATCCTCTCGACATTCTTGGCGACAGGGCGGCTTACGGGTCGAGCGGGACAATACAGAGGGACCATGATATGAACTCTTATCTGAAAGCGGTTAGGAGTGTGATAAGAAAAGAAGTGAGTCAGATAAGGAGGGAGAAGAGGGAGCATCGCCGGAGTCTCTGGTGGCCTATTCTGGTGGCTAGGGAAAGCGGCGGGGGGAGCTCGGGGGTTGCGATTGGTAACGGACAAATAAACAACGGTCAAGATTTCTCGGGGATGATGAAGACAGGGAGGAAGTCGTTGCAGAGGTTTAGCCGCCTTGTGGCGTCTCAGCATATGCCTTTGATCGTTGTTCTGTTGTTTCCCGTTAAGTTGATGCTCCTTAACGTCTTTAGTTTCCGTTGAAAAATTGTTTGTTTTCTGGCGGGTTAAAAGTCGTTGGCTTATACCGGTTTAGACCGGTTTAGTCCATTCTTTATTCATGTATATTTTGTTTGTTTGTTGTGGGCCCATTGGAAGCTTTTTCTTGTTAGATTCATTGGTTTCATGCGTAAAGATTGTGGAAAAAGTTTATAACAAGTGGGCAAAACCAATTTGATTAGTTTAGAATCTTAGATTGGCCAGCAATCAGCTATGTGTGTGCAAAAATCATACTTAAGGTTTCTTTCCTTTTGACTAGTGACATTAATCTTTATTAAGATAGCGAAAGCATGAGATCTACAAATCATTCCAACTTCAATTATTGTGAGAATGGGAAGATATTTGTGAAACTGTGACATGGTTTGTATCAGCGAATTATTTATTTTTGTCGTATCAGATCATCGAATTTGGATTAGTCGCATTCTATTTTGCTTTATGATTTTTATTACCTTTGGTTTTTAAATATGTTATACAGAAAAGAGAAAACTTAAACAAGTTGGGCGAGTGGTCGAGAAAGTGGCCCCAAAGGAGTTGATGGTTTATCCAATCCAACGACAATGCACGTTACCACCAATGACTAATCAGTAATCACACACACGCAGTGTAACTATACGACCATAAATATCTAGCTGAAGACTGTCAACAGTGTTTTCACTCGTGAATTCCAATCGCTTATCTTGTACTGTTTACTTAAAGATTTTCGTATGTTAGCTATTATCCACGTAATGAAATTTCAGATCTTATATCGCAACATAATTTTTTTAAATACAAATTCCCTTTGTTAAAGATTGGCTAATTCGCAATCAGGGTCATGCCTGACTTTTTTTTAAGATTAGAAATAGTAAAAACATTGGCCCGAAAAAGATATTAAGATGCTTTGAATTCACAATCTTGACAAATGAAACAAACAATCAAATCACTGAACAAAGGATTCTAGCAAAATTGGTTCGTAAATTGTTCATAAATATTTTGGCTCCAAGCCAATGCTTGACCAGCGACTCTGCTTGCAATTACTTAGATCATTTTTTCCCGTTTGAATGATACTTGTAATAATTCATAAATATTTATATTAGAGTGATTAAACATTTTATTAAATTTTTCTAATTCTTTCTCTGAAAATATAAAATGGTGAATTGGCTGAAAATACAAAAAGAATGTAATAATTAGGAAAATATCTAAATATCGTGGGGAAATAGATGATGGAGGGAGAAAAAATAGGGAAAATTAGGTATGAAGTGCAAATATGGTAAATGTTGTAGGTATGGAGTACAAATATTCAATATAAAATGTCATAAAAATAACTGTAAAAAATAAAGTAAAAATAAAGAAAAAATAAATAAAAAATAAAGAAAAAAATATAATATATGCACCGTCAACTACAAAGGCGAAGGTATGTACGATTCTTTTGGTAAGCATCGGAATTTTCTCTCTCTCTTTCGAGTATCTACTGAACCCAGTGCCGGTCCTGGTTCCTGTGGCGCCTAAAGCGCATCAATTAATTGATGCCCTCTCACAAATTTTTCTTTTAAATACACTATTCTCAAACAAAACAAAATTCGAAATTGCTTTTTGCAATAACGGAGTCTCATCAAAAATCTTACAAACTGATTTAATAGAAAAAGTAACAATTCTTAAACTTGTTCTTTGTTTTTAAGATAATTGGATGAATAAGATAAATAGTAGAAGAAGAAAATGAAACACATACATGAGTTAAGATAACAAAACGGGGTGAAGATGAATTGTCAAAACTCTAACAAAATGAACGAAGAGGAAAGATGAACGAGTTACAGCATTTGATAGAATATATGGTAATGAGTTTGATACATATGTGGTAATGACTGTTATTTAAGAAAGTAATTAGTTTTTAGTTGATTTATTTTTGTCTCATAGGTTACAGCATTTGATAGAATATATAGAAAACGGAAACTAAGGTCAACAAAGGAATCAAAATCTGTTGAATTTTTCTGTTATACTTATTACCAGTTTGTCAAAAAAAAAAAAAAAACTTATTACCAGAGAGGCTTGAACCTGCGATGATTCAGAAATGATAGTACAACTCGAACCACTAAACCTGCAAGCATAACATGTCTATTCTTGGCGCCCCAACTTTATATAGAAAATCTGGCGCCTAAAGCCCAAGCTTTACGGGCTTTAGCCCAGGGCCGGCCCTGACTGAACCGCATTGTTACTCACCTTCTTGATCTCCAAGAAAAGGCCATTCTTGCTTGATGCAGTGAGTATTATCATATATATAGGGATGATTAGTGGGCGAACACTTGTAGAGGTACTTAGTGTCCTTGTAACACATAGGTTGATTGTTTGTAATTCTTAAAATAGTTTTTGGTTTTTGATTTTCTAAAAACTATTTTTTACTAGTCAAGATTTTTGCAAAATAGATTCTCTAGAATGTCAGAAATCCAGATTTGGAAATAATTCCCTACTTATTAACAACAAAAAAAAACGACGTCTTTTGGTTTTCTTTAGCAATAGTACATAACTTGTTTTTTGTTAGAATATCAATGTTTCTATATTAATGCATTAATATAGCATAATATATAAAACTAAATTAGTAGTAAGATATTAACTATTCTAAAATACTAAGAATCAACAAAATACTTTGTATATCATTTTAATTTAAATTCAGTAACTAAAAAATAACTTATATTAGTTAAAATATTTTCTTTGTTTTTTAAAATTTTTAATATAAATTCATATATTCTGACATATATTTCATACTACCATGCATACTTGTTCTGATTATGACAAATATATATATATATATATATATATATATATGCATTTTGACTATACAAAGATTACTAAATATTCTACATAGTTTTTCAAATTTATAGCAAAGGAATAAAAAGACAAATTTATTTTATTGAGAAATATTCAAAAGGAAACTTCAAGTGTTAAGAAATGAGACAGACAAAATCTTAATACAATTAAAATGTAGATGCTTAAAATTTGCTTTTTTTTTGAAACACTTTTTTTTAAAAAAATGGTTTAGTAAAGCAAAATAGCATTATAATCCAAAAGCGACTGCTTGGTGTCGATCTTACTCAGATCCAAGTCTAAGTAGATGGACTGATGTTCTTTCAATTAGAGCCACCACTGTTGCTAGAAGATGAATCCGCTTCTCCTTGTTTGTACTCGAAGACCAGCTCCTCACCTTCTCTGATAGCTTTAGCTGCAAATAATCCAATCTTGTGATCTCCTTTAACAATCATCAACTGCACACAAACAGTAACTTGTAAGGTAATTACAAGGATCATCACTTCATATAATTAGTTTGAGTTTCTTGGAATCGTTTGTAGATATATAATTAATTGTATATTAGAACTAATCAGCAACGAGTAAGTTGATACAAGCGTGATTTTAAATAACCAGTCAATTATGAAAACTGACAGAAGTAACTTTTTTATTAATGAATCAATGTTGTCCTTCGTACCTTGGCGTAGCAATTAGGATTTGATGAGTGATTGAGAAATCTAAACTTGTTTCCTTGACGGCGAGAATCAATGACGAACTGTAATATATTATTTCAACTTATGAGAACAAATATTTAATAACGTATCTGAAGAAGAGAAGGTAGGAGATTAAATTACCTTATCATTCAAGTTAAAGAGGTAGGAATAACCAAGCTTTTGATCTGCTCTGTCACGTTCTTCTGCTTCATCTATAGAGACCAATTCTCCGGTATATTCTCCGAGAAACTCATTTTGTTTAAGAGAGTGCTGATAGATCAACTCAGATTATATCATTAATTGAAAATTTTAAAACAAAGAGAAAGGAAAACATGTTCACATGTATATGGTATAGATCTAACCAAGCTGGTTTTAATCTAAACACAACTCTAGTATTCTCCAAGGTATATATATTATGATATTATTATGTTTGCTTACCCGTGTAAATGCACCCCATCCATGAACATTGGACATTCCAAGGAGAATCTAGTGAATAGTACGAAAAAGAAGAATTTATGATTTTGTATAATCTATATGAAAATTTGATGCTCATTTGACGATCGTAACCTTTATATGTTTCTTAAGGAGGATTTGCATGTTCTTGCATTTTCTTGTCGTGGATGTCTCACCAAGAGAGCCATGTCCATCTCCACAACTATATAAAACAAAGTTTTTTTTAGAGTTTTATTTTGTTTTAAGATTTAACCAACGATTTTTATATTAAGTTAAAAATGTTACCTAAGCGAACAACTGCGACAATGATCTGGATTGCATTCGCGTGAATTAGAAAAGCAAGGACATTTTCGGTTTATACATTGACCCCTTGTACAGTTACATCCTCCAAAACGATTGTTGCATGTCTCTGGACACCTGAACAAAAAATATAAACTTATGATCTAAATGGACTGTATAGCCTATCGTTGAAAAATTTAATTAGTTTACGACAAGATTAATTTCAAGAATGTTTTGGAATATGACGAGTTAATAATGACACATACCCGCAATATATCTCACAGCAATTTCCATTACGAAAACAAGGACACTGATCTCCACATACAGGCTCGCAAGTGCATGGTGTGTACTGCTTATACGAATTGTCTATTTCGTTCATTCTATTTTTTATAGCAGCCGGGTAACAATCTTGCTTTTGGAGTTGGACTTTTTTCTGGACCAACCTACGTTTTCTTCGCGATGTCTCTGCATTAACCTGCAATAAAAATCATCCAAATGAAACTTAAACAGTTAATTGTTTTTCAAACATTAATGCCACGAAGATTGAATATTTTAGTTACCTGATGGTCTGTTTCTGAAGTTTCTTCATCTTCTAGTAACATATTACATTGATCTTGCTCACGCATGTAATTGTGAACCTCTAAACACGTCTTAAGTCCGCAAAGTACGTTTCTTGTAATAAGACAACTGCGGCCAGTGCATGGACAAGACATCAAGTTGTAAGTATATTATTGGGAAAGTAACACCAGATAAGATTAAGAATACCTTGTGTATAGATAAAAAAAAATACTGCAACTACCATTATGATGTATTTATATCAAACCTAATAAATCATATAATTGTAGAATTTATCAACCTTTTAGTTTTCTTTTTGTAATGCAATATCAACCTCTTAGTTACTAAAACTCAACTTCAACTAACTACAGTACATGATAACCAAATGTTTTAGTTTTGATATAGATTATCTTAAATGATAATCCCGATAGTATTTAAGAAAAAATCATTTAGAGTATTCGTATATTAATACCATGACTTTGTTTTACATTTTTTTTACCTGCTTTTCCCAAAGACTTTAGCTCCTTTGACGTAAAGATCCATCTCTACAGACGTCCACTCATTGTATGCTTGAGACATATCTGTAATTTCATTAATACTTCATTAGTATCAGACTATCAGTTAATAAACAGTGTCCAGTTTCCGTGTTTGTACCTGAGACCACAATCTCCCCTTTCTTGTTTGATACAGAGTTATCATTATTCACCAAATGACCAGCTTCTGTGACACCCCTTAGCTGTTAAACCAGTAACAAACAAAATTAAGAAATAAACATATATTGTGTGGGAGAGAGAGGGAGAAAGATACCTTAAGGTAGCAATGGTTACTGCACTGTTTCCTAACATCTTCCTTCCCAAACAAATTAGATTGGTTTTCTTTCTGACAAGCCAAAAGTCATCTAATTAAGTTAATCATTTAAGCTTCTAAGGCCTTTTAATTAAAAATAATAAGTAGATATGTTAATAGAAGCTTACAGTATAAACCTCAGGCTTTATTTCTTCATGCTCATCACAATCGAATCTCTGTAAAACAACAATAACTTTACATATATGTTTTTTTGGGGGGGGGGGATGACAAAAAAAAAACAATAGATTCGAACACTTACGAAGCAACGACGGCAAAAATGCCTATCAGTAGCCTCCTGAAAAGAAGTAAATATGCATATATCAGAAACTTCATCAATATCTCCTTCATTGGTCTTAAGCTTCTTGAGCTCATTGTATCTCTTCTACAAACATGAAGATTATATTTTCATCCATCCTTAAACACAAACAAAATTTATTGATGAAGATTCGATTTCATTATTACCAAAATATCTGAAACATCTAAGTTGAAGAAATTGGAGAGAGCACTCTGCACCACCAGGTCATCAAAATTATGTTTTTGCCCAACCTCCCTACAGAATTATTGTTAACGAACTTGTTAAAGAATAGTAGAGGCCTCAATTCAAATGTACATATTTACAAATTTAGAATTGGAAGTTGTATATGAATGCTCTTCTTGCATGCACATATAAATGTTCGTTTAGAAATCACTAACATATGTAAAGCAAAATCTAACCATATTAACCGATCTGCATCTTTGGAAAATTCCACTCTTTCTTCCTCCGTTTCTTCTTCTTCTTCATCTTCTTCGTCGTCGCTGCTCAGTTCCTCTGCCTGGCCATTGACATAAATGATTTGTCTCATACCGATCACAGAATCACTTTCTGCCATTAGCTTATTACTGCAATATTAACGCAATATATATATATATATATATATATATATATATAAATAAATATATATTAACGAGTGGTATATATTGTATACCTGATTGATTGTTGAAACTAATATGAAATAAAAACAAACATACCTATCCGTGAAAACCCAGGTAATGGCTCTAGGTAGCTGTTCAACCATTGGAAGCTTGATAACTTGTTTGTCGGGAATTGGATGTATAAATTCTTCATTAGTATTATAGTTGACAATAGGGAATGTTGTTTTCATTCTCAAAGAAAGCATATTGCTGTCTCCTCCATCATTATTTACTCCATCACCCCGGGCTAAAGCAGGAGAATGATGACATGCAAAATGTGCACCCACACTTGGCAGACATCTATCCGCAAATGTTTTCTGTCAATTCATATAGTGTAAGTTATCTTCGAAAAATGTCAAACCGGATATGAGTTTTTTATATGTAAGTTGAGTGACTTTTTATAATCTTTACAATCAAGCCCTGATTGAGTATTGGTTTTGTGTGTATTCCATGTGGACCAATTTTGTTGGCTCTATCAACTGAACGGATATCCATAACACTATTTGGATGTGAATATATATCAAAGTTCACTTTTTGGGTTTTGAAGATTCTGATACAATAGATATGTTCCTCGCCAAAAAAGAAGAAGAAGAAGAAATGTTCTTATATTATCATCTATTTGCAATGCCCAGTATAACCATACCCTTTATAAGTCATTTTTAGTTCTCTCATCGCTCTTCAACATAATTAAGATACATAGTAGAAAATTTGTAGAAGCAACCCAAAAAATTTTACCTGAAAGTGCAGAACCTTTTCTTTCTCTAATTGTTCCTTGATGTGATTCAGTTCCAGAGACAAATCCCCACCTTCATGATTTCTCTGAACAAAACCACGAAAATCATAAACCACAAACCAAACAAAACTGACAACATTCCTTTGATTCTCGCTTCTCAGCAACTTTATGGATCATGAGAAGAACATAAAATCTTATTTAGATGGACTTATCATACAACCAACTAAATAATAAATTCAAATCTATAATATAACTCAAATTATAATGTATATATTTGCATGCTGATTTAGATCTTGAATACCAAAGTGTTTTACTGATTATCAAACCATATAATGAAAAGAAAGACCATGTAAACTAGTAAATTTACCTTCTCCATTAGTATCTCCTCGCCTCTTGCTTTCAATTTTTTTTGTTTTTTTTTGTGATGTGTTGTTCGAAGGTATCACATCTCATTTAAATAGTAAGAAGACTAAAAAAAATTAAGAAGAAAATTATATGGAAGTATATATGGAAGTCAATGAATTAAAATGAAGGAAATATTAAACTAGTAAGAAAATTGTATTTAATTATATATATATATATATATATATATATATATATATATATATGGTTTTTGAATTGACTCTCAAACTAATGGGTCTAAACATTTCAAGTTTAAAATCATTTATGTGATAGGATCAAATGCTTAGCTGCTAAATTATTATTATTATTATTATTTTGAGAAATGCGTAAATTATTATTACCTTGTCGAATATTATATTTGACTGGGTGTGAGTATGGGTTTCCTTTTGTATCATTTGATTCATGTCTCTTGAACCCATAAAAAGGAAAGAAATTGTGAATATATTTTGTGATGTAAATATTGTTTTCATGCATGAATGTACTGATTCATTATGTATTTTATGAAAATGCATGCACGAAACGCAGTTTTTCTAACTCCGTTATGTTTCCCAATTAAACAACTTACTCCCTCCGTTTCAAAAAGATGAACATTCTAAAAATGATATTTGTTTAAAAAATATATTTTTTTTACATTTTCAATGTATAATTTAATGAAAAATTGTAGATTTCAAAAAAAAAAAATTATATTTTTAAAATTTTATTGGTTAAAAATACAGGAATTTGTTATCTATAATAAATTATACAATGGTAATCAAAATTTTATGTTTTTTCTAATATGTGTGAAAAAGATAAAACATTTAATTTTTTAAATAGGAGAGAGTATACAGTTATACAACAATATTGCAGGCTATTGATCCGTAGTCACCCATTTATCAGCAACGAGGTATATTCTCGTTAATATCATAGCACTCACTAATTTCAATATGTGGCCATTATTTAATTTCTCACAAATTGCTTCTATTGGTAATCAATTAAAAAATAAAAATAAAATAATATATGAAAGTTTTTATAAATGTATACTACTAGTATTAACTTCATGCTTCGCATGAAAATATTTTTCCATACAGAAAACAATATTTCAGTTTTTTTTTTTTTTTGTAACACAACTTCCATTCATGAACTAGAATTAAACATTGTTACTTACAAGTTACATCCTGTTGAAACAATAGAGTTTGCTTTGTCAAGGCATCAGCTTTACTATTACAGGTACTGGGGGTCCATCTAAAGAAGATAGAATCAAAAGATAGAGAAAGAGATTCAAGAATGCCATAGAGCTCTGTAATCGAGCTTCCACCGTTGATAGTCTTGATCAGTTGTTCAGAGTCCGTTTCCACATGTAGATGCTGGAAACCCAGCTCTTTGCATTTTTACAATGCTTCTCTCAAAGCAAGACCCTCCGTTATCAAAGCTGAACATACCTTGTCTGTAGAAGTAGAAAAATCAGATGATATTTCGTTTTGAGTCACATTCCATCCCATCCTAGCCTTAAGAGAGTTTGCTTTCCATGCTGCATCGCATTGTACTAACACAGAGAGAGGGTTGTGTACAAACGGAATAGAGACTTTGGATCATGGTTTCAGCTTATATTTCTCCTGTTCATCAATCCACTCCCACAATGGCTTTGGTGAGGGGTTCCTCCAGTGAGCTCTGTTTTTTTTTGTTGAAGCAGAGAACAATATTTCAGTTTATATGACTAAAAATAGTTCATATGTAATATGTTATGTATAAAATATACTGATTTATAAGAAGGAGATGTGTGGAAAGATAGAATAGATAGTGAGGTGGATGAAGAGGAAAGAGAAAAAGATAATGGGAGGGTTCCCTCTTTCATTCACCATCTCATAGCTGAAACCGGTATTAACGACATTATGGTTCATCCCATAATCCTCACACACCGCAATTTTCAGTTGCTCCAACAAATAGTAGTTTCTAATGTTACCATTCGACAACACCTTTCTTTGTCAACTACGAAACTCCACTGGTCACTGCAGCTAAACATCCATACACCAGATTTAACATAGATTAAAACCATATTGTATTGATAGAGAAAAGAGATGGTTGTCGATGAAGAAAAGAGAAACATAAAAGAAAGAAATAGAAAAAGATCTTGGGAGGAGAAAAACGTGAGGAAAACATACTATGGAAGATTTAAAGTAGAGTTAATGTAGATTTAGGAATGATATAAACCGAAATATGGAGGTTTTCATATTTTCAAGATTTGGCTATAATATGTATCCTACACAAGGTACAACACTGTTGATTGGGTGGAAAATTTATTCTAGCTTATGCTTGAAATAATGTAAAAGGCAAAACATGTTAGGACCAGTGTTTTGAAACCCGACCCGGACCCGCGGTTGAACCGGTAATCTCTTAATTTTTGGATGAAGAAGAAGAGTCTCAACTCTCAAAGCAACTGAGAAGTGGAAGAAACAGTACAATCTCTTAAATTATTGGTAACCAAAATACCTACGTGTATTATTAGCTCTCTTTTCGAAACATATTGCTAGCTATAAAGATGAAAATTGATGGATAAATATTAGAAGATGGAGCAAAGTATGGACTATGGAGACGTGCACTGGAAATGAAGCAAAGTGTATATCTACCAAATCCTCTAGACTGGGGTCAGAAGTTTATCACCTTCACAATCACACTATTATACACACATGTGTATATATATATTCTATATTCGTAAATATTAGTTTTACTTCTGTATATTATCCTTTTTTACACACTCGTCATGTTTTTCGTAACTAATTTGGGATATCAATCTAAGAAAAAGGATTAATCCCTAAGGGAAGTATACTCCACATATATACCTTTCTCCGGATATACAAAGAGGTCGAAAGTATGAGTCTATATTTATATGAGTGTTAAGGAACAATATGATTTAATTTTATGTCCTAAATGATTGAACCTAAAACGTAATGGCGTCCCAAATCTGTATGCTATCCACACGACCACAAGGTCTCGGATACGTGGATATACATATTTGTCTATCTTTGTAATGAAGAAGCACGCAACATCTTCCACACTCTTAAAGTAGCCATCGACATGTTAATGTCTCATAGACTATAGGTATTCATAAGCACTTAACATAGCCTCTTGCCTTATATTGACAAACTTATTCATATCAGTCTTCATCTTTAATTGTAACTTTACCTTCCATTTTCAACATGGTATTTCACAAATGTGACAAAAAGAAAAGAAAAGAAAAGGCAATTGTTCTATAACATAAACACACTCACACAATTTAATTATGATGGATAAACCTTATGTTTATAAAGTATTCGTACTTAACCTACACAATTGTTTTTGCAAATTCATTAGCTTTACTATGTCGTCGTATTATAGCCGCCATTTTTGCGTGGAGGATGAGGTCACAAGATGCATCTATAATTTCATAATGTTATCGTTGATAAATACTATAAAATGCACTGTGCACTTATATTACATTTTTAGGGTGACGAAACTAAGTACTAAAAAGAAAAAAATAGGTAAATGATTGGCTGATATATTTTGAGAAATAATATAGTTGGTAAAAATAACAAAAATAGTGTGATAGAGAAATATAAGCATTTTTCAAAATTCTGCATCTATAACTGTTGTTGATTTTTCATCCAAAACCATTACTTGTTCGATTTCTTGTCGTTTAGAGTTTTCTAACACGTGCTTAACCAAGATTTAGGTAAAGTAGTTCTTCCCGATATAGTCCACTTATAAATTGTTGAAATGACAAGATGTAGTTCTGCAAGAACTGGCAACAGCATGCTCAAATAGGTGAAATGATCAAAAACCTAAATATCAAGGACTAATTGCAAAACTCGAGTGTGATAAGATTAACCAAGTAGAAAAAAAAAGTTTGAGGAGAAATTAATTACACATTATAAAATTAAAAAAAAAAATCATAACTAAAAATTACTAACTTATATTTTCTAATAATAATAAATCATTGTCTTTATTATTCTAAATAAATAATTGGAAGTTATAAATTGTTAAGTAATTAACTGAATATATATACTACGCCGTGACGTTTAGGGTTTGGTATTTATAATCCATTGCATTCAGTGTTACTAAAATTATGTGCTAAAAAGCATAAATATTAGAAATTTGTTTCGAAGAAAAGTGGAAGAAGATGAGGTGAGACCACACATAATTGAGTTCCACCGAAAAGTGTAAAGAGGGGCGGTGAAATTCTCAAATATGATCAGACAATGGTGTTTCTGAGTATACAATCAATGATGGTTGGTCGGTCATAAAATATTTATTTTATATTCATGTAATTCAATAAATTATTCACATATTAAAAAGAACATTTGTACACCTCCTTTTTCTATAAATATTAAATACATGAAAACTAGGTGTTTTGCCCGCCATGCGGGCTTAAGTGTTTTATAATTATATATACTAATTAAATATATTACTAATTAAAATTATAAGCATATATTGTTATTTGTGTTTTCATTTTGAAAATTTTTAATCTTACAATTATTCAAATATTATTTTTTCAATTATAAAAAATTATGAATTTTAATTAATTAATATTTATTTATTTATTTTCTGTTTTTGAATTTTTAAATATTTTGTTAAAGATAGCTTTCAGATAACAATACAATATATATATGAATTATCTGTTTAAAATAAAATATATTTTTGGATTTGGATAACTCTTATTGTTATTGTTTAAAATAACTTATCTAATAAAATAAATTTAAATTAGTTTTTATATATAATTAATTTATATAATTTATTTATTAATGGTATAAACGATACTAACCGCGTTAACTTTTAACGTGGGAGCCCCGTTACGAAAAATCATTTTGCTTAAGATTTTTATAATTATTTGTTAGTAAATATATTACTTATTAAAAATTATTCAATATTATTTTTTCAATGATATAAAATTAAGAATTTTAATTAATTAATATTTGATTATTCTTTTCTGTTTTTGAATTTTTTTTGTTTTCTGTTTTTGAATTTTTAAATATTTTATGAAAAGATAGTTTCAGATAACAATACAATATATATAGGAATTATCTTTTTAAAATAAAATATATTTTTGATTTTGGATAACTCTTATTGTTATTGATTAAAATAAATTATCTAATAAAATAAATTAAAATTCGTTTTTATATATTATTAATTTATATAATTTATTCATTAAGGGTATAATCGATATTAACCACTCTAACTTTTAACGTGAGAGCTCCATCGCGAAAAATCACTTCGCAAATAATAGTATAGATGAATTGGGCCACTGAAGAAGCCGAAAGAGTTTAGATATAAAACCCACTCGTGGCCATTCTCTTATTGTTTTCTCTTTAAGAAAAAAAACTGAAATTATATATTATTTTTATCACAAGAAATGTATTTAACCTTTTCTCAATTATCTTCAGTGGAGAATAATTCTTTTTACATGTTATATGTTTCGTCGTGTATTGAATAAACTGTCCCAAACTATAATTATATACATATCCTCCACACAAGTCTTTCAGAATGGAGATATCAACTAAAATCAAGAGGATGAAAAATATTGTCAACCTCATATGGTGTAGTAAAAACCATTTAAAAGATGGGCATTTTAATTAAAACTTTAGGAGTGCATAAGAACTTTTGTCCCAAAAAAGGTGCATAAGAACTTTAATTTTGGGAGATTTTCATCCAGTTTCTCTAAGATTTTACGACACTCCGTAATCCAATCTATATTAAAAACAAAAAGAAATGGTTTCAGGCCAATTTGATATATTTGGTTCTATTCAGAACCGCAAGCCTACATGCCCTACATCCACCTTTGTCTTAAACTGTACCATAAATATGAGCATAAGACTGTTCATAATAGTTTTAAAATTCAACATCTTCCATTTTATCTTTCAACATTCTATATTATCTTTTTTTATCTCATCATTTAATACACGTTCAATTTTTATTCACTACAATGATTTATTTAAAATAAATTTTAATATCTTATTTTATTAATTAATAATTATTTTTATATCCAAATTAAATAAATTTAATATCCATTTATGAAGATTTAAAATGATAAATTTCCATATAAGAATAAAAAATAAATTATTTCATTTATAATAAAATTATTGGTTTTAAATAAATAACGAAATAAAATATCAAAAATTTAGAAAATAACATATTTTATCGGTGGCTCCACTTTTTTCTTATTCAACATGTTGAATCTTTTCAACATCAACATTTTCATTGTAATGATTCAACTGTTGAATATTTTACTCAATATCTCTATATACATTGTCTAAGTATACCTACATACTTTTTATTTTATTCAAAAATAACTAAGATTGATTTCTAATATCTTATGCAGTCAATTATTTTCATATGATGAGGATATATGATTTTAGAAATTAGTATTAATGTAGATACTTCATGCATGCTGCATCCATAGTAATATTAGTTCTATAATATATGCATGGCCATAAATTTTCCCAAGGTAACAAAAACATATACGTCGAACACAAGAAAGATTTAAAAAATACTAAGTAAATGATCAAAACTGAACCGATTTAGAAGAAATATTATATCTATATATATATTTGGGTGAGTTATTTAAGAAGATAAATGTAAAATTATCTAGTCAAATAAAGATCCGTTAAATGTTGAGCAACTCCTTCTCATCTATCTCCATTATGTTTATTTCTCGCATTTGTAATGGTCCTGCTGATCTGCTGGCGAAAAAACTCTGTTTATGCTATCAAGCAATCTCTCTGAGATTGCAAACTTTGTAGGATGATTAAGTTTATGTTTAATGGAATCAAAAAAAAAATTAGATCTTTATTTAACTAGATGATTTTACATTATTTTCTTAAATAATTCAAACGAACATTAAAGAAAGAAATAATAAATCTCAAAACTTTTTGGTAAGTACAAGTACGTTAATTCTAAAAGGAATTAAACTCAATCCTAATTATACCACACGAGCAGTCTCATACTAGAGATAACGTCTCCACTTTCGTGGCTGGGTATAATTTTCTACACACACCAACAACCAAAAAGAACATAAAAAAAAATGAATGGAAACCAAACAAAAACCCGCAGTAACTTTACCTACACTCCACATGTTTAAATTAAAATAACATTAGGTTTCCACTTCCTATAGCCCACGACGCTGCAATATATATAAAGGAACCAGCCTTGTCTGCTTTTGCTGCATTAACATTTCCAAGAAGCATTCTAAACTTAGTGAGTGCGACTCTCTTCTTACACACTTTTCCTCCAACATTCACCTCAAAATCACCAAAAAGAAAAACATTTTCAGTCCAACAAAAATGCTAATCACTCGCAACCAAATCCTTTGTTTCATCGCACTAATTATTTTTACATTAACCTCACTAACTGAATCTCGATACCATCACCACAAAGAGAAACACAAACACAATAGCCATAACCATCACTCTTCAAAACCAGAACCCCCTTCTTCCTCAATCTCTCAGCCTCCTACTCCTCCTCCGGGTCCTGATGACTCACCTTCACCGTCACTACCACCGTCACCTAGCGACGAGCCTGAAGAAGACAACAATGCAGTCTACAACGTGAGAAATTTCGGTGCGGTCGGAGATGGTATCACAGACGACACGGAAGCATTCAAAACGGCGTGGGACTCATCATGTAGCAACGGAAACGACACCGTTTCAGTTTTGCTTGTTCCTTACGGCTACACGTTTATGATCCAGTCTACTATTTTTACCGGTCCTTGCCACTCTTACCAACTATTCCAGGTATTACTTCTCTTCCTAACGAAACTCTAAACATTTTGAAATACTATATAGATAACTATACCAAATGGGATCTGTTCTTATATCATTTTTATTGATATAGGTGGACGGGACCATTGTAACACCAGATGGACCAGAATCGTGGCCGAGCAATATAAGTAAAAGACAATGGCTTGTCTTCTATAGAGTCAACGGAATGGCTTTGAAAGGCGCCGGAGTTATAGATGGCCGGGGACAGAAATGGTGGGATCTTCCCTGCAAACCTCACCGGGTAATTAACTAAACTAATTAGGACATTTTAAAACTATAGTCTTATATATTGTACTATTCAAAAATAAATAAATATCGTATTATTCTATTCATTCAGACGGTTTTATGAAACTCTTCCAAGAATTTACACCAAATGAGATTGTTTTAATTTTATTTATAAATGAATGTAAAACTCTACAATGGAAAGCGACTCTATAATTAAATTGGCGTATATACAATATTTATAACTAAATTATTTCGTTTGTTTTTCTACAGACTGTCAACAAATCTGCAATTGTTGCTGGCCCTTGCGACAGCCCCATTGTAAGTTCAGCATAAAAGTGTACATACTAGTTACTACTCAGTTCTTTTAATTGATCTGGTAAATAATGAACCAAATGTATGCAGGCCTTGAGATTCTTTATGAGCTCGAATCTAACGGTGGAAGGTCTACAGATAAAAAACAGCCCACAATTTCATTTCAGGTTCGATGGTTGTCAAGGAGTTCACGTTGAGTCTCTTCACATTACTGCTCCGCCGTTGAGTCCCAACACTGACGGCATCCACATCGAAAACTCCAACTCCGTTACCATCTACAACTCAGTCATCTCCAACGGTAAACAAAACTATACATGTTATATACATCAAAGTTAAGAAAATCATTAAAAAGCTTTGATGTCAAAAAAAAAAAAAAAAAAAAAAAAACCATAGCCGGTTTATAAATGAATGCTTTCAAATATATATGTATATATATTTGGACGAATGCTTTCAAATTAAATATAAATTTACATAATACAACAAAATAAGCTAAGAAGAAAAAATAGATTTCAAAAAAAAAAAGTAAAGCGAAATGATTCTTGTCTGTACAATTAAAGTCATGCTTCCATTTTGCAGGAGACGATTGTGTATCGATTGGTTCGGGATCCTACGATGTTGATATACGGAATCTTACCTGTGGACCCGGTGGCCATGGAATTAGGTTTGTTATCTATCTTTAATTTGATTAATCTGATTAAAACACTTATCATCCCATTATAGATCCCAACCATCAACTATTCTAAAACGTCATTATATACTAAATTTTTAGTATTGGAAGTTTGGGCAATCACAACTCACATGCATGCGTCTCAAACATAACCGTCAGAGACTCAGTTATAAAGTACTCCGACAATGGAGTTCGGATCAAAACATGGCAAGGTGGGTTTGGTTCGGTCTCAGGCGTGACGTTCAACAACATCCACGTGGAATCAGTTCGTAACCCAATAATCATTGACCAATACTACTGCATGACCAAAGACTGTGCTAATAAAACATCTGCCGTTTTCGTATCTGATATTGCGTACCAAGGCATCAAAGGAACTTATGATATTCGAAGTCCTCCAATGCATTTCGGATGCAGCGATGCAGTTCCATGCACAAATCTAACTCTTTCTGGCATCGAGTTGCTTCCTGCCAAAGGAGAAATCGTTTTGGATCCATTTTGTTGGAATGCCTATGGAATTGCGGAAGAGCTTTCGATTCCTCCAGTTTTTTGTCTCATGTCCGATCCTCCCACGGCTTTGCAAGGTGCTCTTGTTGACAAATGTGGTTAATCAGATCATTAATTGATCAGTTAGGCTATTCTCATAAACTCTTACGTGATTTTAGAGGAAATGTATATATGTATGAGGAGAATCATTTTCTTGATTCTTCGTTGAGGAGTGGCACATTTTATTTGCCTCTTCAAGTATTTTAAAAACGTGTTTAATTTTCATTTGATGATTTTTGTAGTGTGTGTTTAACTAGTGATGGAGTGCTATGATTTATATAATTAATAAGATTGTGTTTTATCTACAAAATGTTATACATCACTATGCACACGGCCAGTTTTTTTTTTGTCTATGAGTGAGTATATATAAGATTCAAAATGATTTAATGATAGGAAAATATGGTACAACTATTTGTAAATTACTATATAGGTATCCCGTAGAGTAGTCTAGTATTATAGTGGCGACTTGTACCATACAAGTGGATGTTCCTTGTTGCAAGTTTTGTAATAGCGAGTTTGTGAAAACAAAACTGTAAAAAATTCCTCTTAAATTTTCGTATAAAATTTATTATTTTTATGTGATATATGTAGGTTGAATATGTTTTAAAAAAGGGTAAAATATTTCACTATTTCATAAAATATATTTTTCGTGCTAGCTTGTAAAAGGAAAATTTATCCTATTGCTAAGTGAAAGTCCTAAACAAAATGAATCGGTAGTAGAATGAAACATTAATTTGTTTTATTTATATATGATGGTCTGTATCTAGTATAATATTATTATTAATTATCAAAGCTAATTGTTTGGTGTGCAATTTAATTATGTGAGAGGAATTATAAAGTAGTGGATTAGCTTAGTAGAAAGTCGAAAGAATATTCCAACTTTTTTATGTTGTCTTGGTCTCTTCTCTTTGTAGGTCGAACTAATAATATTTTTATATAGTTCTCAAAAAGTAATACTACTGTATATATGTTTTAATGCTTATATATTATATTAAATGCACTATGTTGTTGATAAAAAAAACGCACTATGTTCATCGATCTCTCGACGTGTAGCTTTCGTAGTCAAGAATGTGTATCTAGTTAATCATTAATCAAATAATCACATAATGAATGATAAGGGAAATCGAATGGTTTAAAATTTTGTTTTGATCGATGTGGCATATATTTATCTATCATTATTATCTGAAAAATGCATTGTTAAATTTTACGAATTCCGCATTTTGCAAATTAAGATAGGTACAAAACGAAAGCTATCTAGTTTCAGTGAGCAAAACTTTTATCGATGTGTTTTGGTAACTGAACATCGTAAGAAAGAATTAAAGCAGAAAATACGTTTGTTTCAGAATAACAAGGTACAGAACGAATTATCTAGACAAATTTTGAAACAGAATTCCAGGAATATTCGTAGGTTAATTAATAGAATAAAAAAAAAATAGAATAACCTGCCATTTTCCCCTTTTAACCAGAAATTAAATTTTCCTTTTTAACCAGAAGACAATCTTTTTCTTCTTTTTTTCCAACAAATTGTCCTTTGACGATTAATAATTATGTGTCGAGATCCTTTTTACTTTTGGACTTCTAAAGGTTTTATGTTTGTTTGTTAAGACTTCTAAAGTTGATGATAACTTATGATCAACTTGTTTAAAGTTTACCTGGTTCACCTCAGCACGCGCAGCCACTAGAACTATATCTTCATTTATACATAAATATAAACGTATGCATGCAAAACCATAAAATATATCAATGCTAGAGTTGGTGATATTAGCTAATTTTTAATTTGATCTGAATTTCTTACTGAGACACCTTAAATTTGAATACGAGCAATATTGCGATATTTAAATCAACGAATACATCATAATTTTATTTTAAGTAGAATTTAACTTATGTATTTATGTTTTTTTTTTTTTTGCAAACTAACTTATGTATGTATGTTCTTTGCTACTTATGCATAAAGATGAAATTCTAATTATGGAATCAATCACGCGCGCGTATGTTTGTATATGCAATTATACAACAGAAGAAATATAGTACTTTCTTTTTGAGGTTAAAGAAAACTGAAAAAGCTTACAAGGCCACTCGAAGATTCTAGGTTCCGACTCTCGTTTCTCAAAATATGACTATATATTATCTTTCGTTAAAAGCGCATATAGTTTTATAACAAATGGAGAAGTTTGGTGGGTCGCAATTGGAATGTTAGACACACCCCACCTCCGATTCTCGCCTTTTTCGGTGTGACCACGTAATCACCGCTTATATAACTATATGTTTGGTAAATCTATGTGTATACTGTAATACTATTTTACTTGATACCCGGTAACCTTAAGATTCTTCTTCTCGCTTTCTGCATTGTCTCCTCTACCTATGACTCTATGCCCATCACACTCATACCCTCTTCATAGGCCATTCTCAATTCTAATAAGATGAAGCGTATCAAAATTTTCTTCCTAAGTTGTCAATGAAATTATGTCAAAAAAAAGTTGTCAATGAATCCACCTAAATTTATTTGTTTCCCACGTTCTACTCTTAATACTCTACTCTTATATTTGAACGATTAAAAATAAGAGTTTGTAGTATTTTATGTCACTGCGCCAGAGATGTATTATCACATATTAATATGCCAATCAAAAGAAATGTTAAAACTGTTTTTATCATCGTTTTTATTTGTTTGTTTATGTTGTAACTGAATTAGTTACTCATCTGAGGAGTTATTTTTTAAAAAAAATATTTTTTTCTATATATCAAAATTTCATATTACAATTTCTGATTCTATCATATTTAACAATAGAATAATTATAAAACGACGCATTGCATGGTTCCATGTTTTTAGTTTATACTATTGTCCGGACCATAATAATTACCAACCTCAATAAATTCAATGTTAATATATACGAACCAAGGATTCAAAAAGTGAAAAGAAAGAATAAAGGATGCCTTTGACCCTAACAGTAACAGCCTTATTAATAACTGTCACTCTTACAATGTCGCAATGAATAAAAAATTCTCATGCATGTGTCTGGATTCGAATCAGGAAAAAGGGGATTGAAAAGACAAATCTAGAGCGAGAGATGAGGTTTGATAGAATTTAGTATAACATCAAGTGTTATAAGAAAAACAAGAGAATATGGCGCAAATTTGAAGCTTTTAAGAAGTTTAATTTAAATATGAGTGAGCCTTTGTGGATCGTCGTGTGTCAGAAGTTTATACATAGTAATATCTTGTGATTTTTTCTAAATCGAATGTATGATAGTCATGAGTTTACTACAACTACAAGCAATGTTTTTTTCTCCCAATAAAAATAATTGTTTAACAAATCCGAACCTACAACAATCAAATTAGAGAAGTTTCACACCTTTAGGCCCATTAGAGTACTGGTCCATGATCTATGACAACAATCTTAACGTACCCATTGGGCCATTGATTTCTCGAAGCTCAATGCGCGATCGAGAAAGACGTGAACAAACTTACTACGTTTAGTCCTTTTCATAGTAAATACGTCCATCAAACACTGAACCATTTTAAATTATGCGTTAGTTGTTGTCTTTGTTTCTTTCTTCGTGTCGGGACAGTTCCGTGTTAGTAAATTCAATTAACATTTTTGTGGAAAACCAAAGATGATATAATTAAGTTCACTATTAAAGAACAAAACGAGAAGAATCATCTTTCTTTATATGAATTAGTAACTTATATATATGGCCGACAACGCATAGTTTGATTCGAAAAATCTTAAAAAAAATCTCATCATTTGAATAGATTGTGATTATGATGAGTATTTTAAAGAGTTTTTCATGATAAAAATACTCGCTCTATCATTAAACTCAAAAATAGTTACCAAGAGAGTTGATCTAACGGCTCAGAAAAGAGAATAATGTAGGATCGATTCCACTGGATCTTTCTTTCTGTCGCGACCTCCCATGAGTAAAGTAAACGCATCAAGTCAGAGTTTCGATGATGAGTACCAACCAACCAATTATAATGTGTCAAGCATACGTCACTGCAATGACGTAATCTCATAACTGCTTCATGTCGTTTTATCCACAAAATCATCATCTGACGCAATCGAAACGTTGGTATCTCCGCATTCTTTTACCTTTGTACCCCTCTATTGTCAGTTTTTTTCTTCCAGAAAACGTTTTCAAAGTGTTTGAATTGTTTTTCTTTGGGGAATTTAAAAAAAAAAAAATTTGACTAACAATACCAAAGTCAATATTTTATTTCATACAAATTAATCTTTGGAGTTTTTCTTGTTTAAAAAAGCAATTGTTAAAGAATAAAGCGAGAATAAAAGTTAAGAAAGACTGAGAGGAGCTTGAGGACAGGTTGTTTTTGTCATTTTGCCAAGAAGTTTCGTCACGTCTAGTTCTTCCTTTAAACAGACAAATAGGAATATTTACCTATCTCACTCACTCAAGTCTCCAAACTCATTTTCCTTTATGTAAATGTATTCCAAACAACTTAATCTACACGACTGCTCCTCTAAGACCATGAAGAACAACAAGGACCAAAATGTGGAGATGAACAAGAGAGAAAGAGAAGAGGCAGAGGAAGAAGAGAGGAAGATTGATACGTTCTTTAAGCTTATCAAAACTTATCAAGAAGCACGAAAACGAAGAAGGGAAGAGTTAACTGGGAACTCCGGCGAGGCGAGGAAGAAATGGAACGGCGGAGAGAGATCATGCGTTGTAGTCCCGGCATTTCTTCCGGAAGATTTCTCTCAGTGCCGTATGGATTTGAAGCCAGTGATGGCTGTCTCGGAGCACAAGAAAGATAATGCCAAGCTGAAAGAAGAAGAAGAAGAAGAAGTAGAGAAGGTGGGACAAGAAGAGAAGGGTTTAGATCTTAATCTTGCATTGTAGTACATTAATCTTTTTTTTCTCATTTTCTTTTGGTTCCTAATTTCTCACTTGATTTGGGACTTGACTTATAAATATTTCAATTTAACTCAATTGTGTCTGATCAAACTAAGCTGGAACATTGCTCTGATTCTTCTTTTACATTTGAAACCAATGTTCAAGAACATCGTTAGCCGGTATTTATCATAAATTATTGATCATGCAGTCGTTTGGATCAGTTTCTTTTGAACGCCTCTATCAATTTTAAAAATATATATTCAGAGTATTATAGACCGATTTTTAGAAACTATAGTCTCCTAAACATACATTCTCTGTCTCTTGCATCTTTGGTGATAAACAAATGAGAAAATTGCCAAAAAGTCTTTGAAACTGATTGCACCAAGTCAACTGGTTGACTTTTATTATGATCTCACAGATCCTGAAATAGACTAAACAAACATCTCTTAACGCTTAAGCTTTGAACTTATTTGACTTTGAAACTCAATAAGAGACAAGGTTGGTTCTCTCTCTCTCTCAATATCAAAGCTCTCTTCCTCTAAAAGTCAACTACCTTGAAGCATTTGATCGTTGTTGATTCAAGAAGATGGGGACAACACTTTCGGAAGCCATTTGCCGGTTTATTCCAAGAAACCGAACCGAGAATAGTGTTTTTCGGCCTCCCCGGTACCGGAAAATCATCAATACTCCACAAACTCAAAACAGGTGAAATCCTTTCCACAAACATGCCAACCGTTGGTAAGTAATCACACTTTTTCTTATTCACGTCATTGTCTCCATATAAACTATTCAAACAAAGAAGGGATCATATATATGCTTCTAGGATTTGACATGGAAAGCTTCAAATACAAGAACTCGAGCTTCTGTTTCGTTGAAGTGGGCGGGCAGTATCGGTATAAGGTACGGAAGTCGTTTTCTTTTGCACCAGCTTAAAGATAAAAACATTATAACCTCATGATGGCACTTTGCAGATGGTACCGTTATGGAAACATTATTGTGCAGAGGCATCAGGGCTTGTGTATGTAGTCGATAGCAAGGACATAGAGCGAATGGAAGAGGCAAAGAGTTTCCTTTACATGGTGATGGATGAGGTAACAAACCCTTAGCTTGTCTCTTTTTAGCAAGTTTTTTTAGATAATGCCAAACGTTTGATTCCCTAGATTTTAGATACAGGGGAAGGTACCGGACAATATGGCTGTTCTTGTTTATGCAAACAAGCATGAGATTCCTGGTGCCATGTCTGCTTCTGAGATCAGTAACGAACTCGATCTCACTTCTCTTCGTCAGAAAAACTGGCAAAGAAACTGGTAAGAATATTAGTTATATATATAAACCTTCTCAACCCTCTAAATCCTGCCAGTTAAGTTTGTTTTTTTTTTCTGATAATCTGTGCTAATTGTTAGGCATGTCCAGAACTCATGTGCACTAAGTGGTGACGGTTTACATGAAGGACTCGACTGGCTCCTGAAAAATGCTGAAAGGATGTAGCAAAGTTCTGATTTTTATTTAACGCTGGCTCAATCTTCTGTTTCAAGTTATTAAGCTTTTCGTGCTTATAAATATTTTCATGTTTCTTAGACATAACTGAAGCACATATAATTAACAGACAAATACAAAGATGTGAGAGAGTTTCTATCTGGAAGATTTGACACTTTTTGCTTGGTTTCTTGAACTGGAACAGAGCTGTTCTCGTCGACCGAATCTGTAGTGTTTTCTCGGACACTTTGAAGTTAATTACACCATTAAAATTTAAAATAGCAAATAGAAGTGTACCAACCAGACGAACACACATGTATATTTACTCTTTCAAACAAATAGAAACATCGCTTTATAAGTAGACGTTTCTCTCTTTATTCTCTCCTTCTCTCTCACTATCTATCATTAATTTTATATTAAAGAGATTTATGGGAAGAACACCCACTGCAGGTACTTCACTCATGGAATGCATGACAACAAATAAAAAAAGATAGACAGTGAAATATTACATTTGTCACCTCAAGAACATCACAGAACAAACAAGATTAAAATAAACAACATTTTAAGGATGTTATGGCAAAGGAGAATACTTCACTCATGAAAGATTGAAAATTCTGAAAACATATTTGAGTCAAAGACTAATATGGATGTTTTAGAAATTGGGAGAAGATTTTGTATTGCTAGATGAAAAGTTTGAGGCAAAAAATGAGGAGAGTCTGAGAAAAATAAGGCAAAATATAGTTTTTTGATGTCTTATAATTATTCATTATTATCATGATTATTAAGTACATTTTTCATGTTTTGTGACTAGTCATTTTTTTATTATTCATTATTATCATGGTTAATAAGTATTTTCTTTCCATTTTAGATGATCCATCATGTTGTCAAAATGATAAATGAACAACATTTGCCTAAAATATTGCTACCACTGAGTACATGTTAGTTTTATAATATATTTGGTTACGGCATATAAATGATACATGATATATCAAATTAATTAATTTTTTTTTTGTATTCATCTGTACAATATCTACACCATCTCGAAAGATAAGCAAAAATACTCATTATTCATAGGTCATTGCAGTAGATATAGGCAATGTGAAATTAGCCGACCCATAGAAGAAAACCATCACATCACCTTATAGAGAGTGATTTTCAATCAACAGTGCGCTTGACGGAGGCAAGTATAAACACTTGGAATATCAAGAAAGTATTTGGTTACCGGAGATGATGGAAGTGAGTTTTTTGAGGGTTCACGCGAACAACGACACGTAACTATGAAACGAATCACTTACTCCTGTGAAGCTTTCAGTAAATGCTAAATCACCATACCTTTGAGAATCTTTCCGACAGATTCTTCAGTTTTATGGTATGGATGTTACTACTTCTTATATTTACCTCTCGTTTCAACCGTGGACATGTATCTTGGGAGATTTTGTTAGAATTTGTGGAATGAAAGACACACCTTCTCTCACGGAGAACTGTAGATGTTTCCTGAATGAATTTCTTAAAGATAAAAATTTTTGGGAAGTGAGTTGTCGTTTTTCCCATCTTCTGGTGGATCTGATCAGAGATGTGGTGAAGAGTGTCTGCGAACTACATGGTGATGAGATTCTTCATCGGGATATAAATCTCGATTGTTTTTTTTATTATTGCCAATGGGAATGGCTTTAGGTCAAGGATTGGCAGTTTCACCAAATTAACTAATTTTTTCTTTTTTTTTGCATTCAGCTGCACAATATTACACTATCTCAAAAGATTAGCAAAAATACTCATTATTCATAGGTCATTGCAGTAGATATAGGCAATGTGAATTTTGTAACTATAGTCTTTGCTTTTTTGGTTGTAACTACCATCATTTTTAAATACATCTTGACCTTCAGAGATTAAAAAAAAAAAACCCATATCTGCTCTGGTGCCCACCGTTGCGGCCATGGAATAGCACCAAAAGAGACTTAATTTATTTTTTCTGCTTTTTCTTTAATTTCTCACTTTCACTTAGGATTTAGGACTTGACTTATAAATAGGATTCTTCTATGTTTGAAACCAATGTTAAAAAATTTCTAGGAGGTATCGTTATGCACTTTATATAGGATTATTGATTATGCGGTTACCTAAACCGATTGTTTGAATGCTTATTATCGAATTTGTTTAAAAATTATTTTGGAAAAAAAATGTTTTGTTTAGATCCAATTTATTGACTCAACCGGGTTTTAGAACACTCTAAAAACTAGTCTCCTGAACCCACATTCACCGTGTCTTATAGCATCTTTAGTGAAGAACAAATGAGAAAATAACAGAAAGTCTTGCAAGTGATTGCACCAGTCAACTGGTTGACTTTTATTGTGATCTATCAGATCCGAAAACAGCTAAACAAACATCTCTTAACGCTTAAGCTTTGGCCTAGCTGACTTTGAAACTCAAGAAGATACAACAAAACTGGTTGGTTCTCTTTAACTCTCTCTCAATCTTTTTCTTCAAAAAGTCAACTTCTTTGAAGAATTTGATCATAGCTGATTCAAGAAGATGGGGACAACACTGGGGAAGCCATTTGCTGGTTTATTCCCGGAAATCGAACCGAGAATAGTGTTTTTCGGACTCCCTGGTACCGGAAAATCATCTATACTCCACAAACTCAAAACCGGAGAAATGCTTTCCACAAACATGCCCACCGTTGGTAAGTAAAAACAAAATCTTCTTTATTCAGATCATTGTATATTGCTATGAATTACTCGAGCAAATATAGAGATTATTGGTTCTAGGATTAGACATGGAAAGCTTCAAATACAAGAACTCGAGCTTCTGTTTCAGTGAAATGGGTGGTCATGGTCGATATAGGGTATGGAAACCATCTTCTTTTGCACCAGCTTAAAAGCAAAACCATACCTTATGATGGCTTTGGTGCAGATGATCTCGTTATGGAAACATTACTTTCACCAAGTATCAGGGTTTGTGTACGTTGTTGATAGCAGGGACAGAGAGCGAATGGAAGAAGCAAAGAGTTTCCTTCACATGGTGATGGACGAGGTAACAAACCACTTGTCTCTTTTAAACATATTGCTAGTTGTGTACAATGCCAAACGTGTGATTCCCTAGATCCAGATACAGGGGCATGTACCGGACAATGCGGCTGTTCTTGTTTATGCAAACAAGCATGAGGTTCCTGGTGCTATGTCTGCTTCTGAGATCAGCAACGAGCTTGATCTCGCTTCTCTTCGTCAGAGAAACTGGCAAAGAAACTGGTAAGATGATATATAGATAACCTTCTCAACCCTCTAATCCTGCAATTAAGATTGATTCTGTGCTGCTTGTTAGGCATGTCCAAAGCTCATGTGCATTAACTGGTGATGGTTTACATGAAGGACTCGACTGGCTCCTGAAAAATGCTGAAAGAATGTAACAAATTTCTTGTTTTTTTATTTAACGCTGAATCTTCTGTTCCAAGTTATTAAGCTCTTCGTGCTTATAAATATTTCCATGTTTTCTTAGACATAACTGAATCACATAACTAACAGACAGTTGCATAACAAAGATGCCTATTAGAGAGAGTTTTTCTTAAAAAATAGTAGACACTTTTTTAATTGGTTTCTTGAACTGGAACAGAGCTGTTCTTGTCCACCGAATCTGTAGTATTTTCCTCGGACACTTTGAAGAAAGTATAAGACAATATCAGGTTGTTGATTCCGTCCATTCTTGGATCAGTCTCAAACTCAGGATCAATGTAAAAGAAGACCTGCAAAACCAAGTTTGAAAAAGGTCTTAATGGGTTCTTGCTTTTGGCTAAGGAATATCAAACAGAACCAAGAACAATAGGGTAGTTACCGGCATGTCGATCTGTTCTCCGGGAAGAAGTCTCTGTTCCTCAAAGCAAAAACATTGTATCTTGTTGAAATAAACTCCTGCCTGCAAAAACCAACAAGAGTTCGAGAATCAAGGAGAAAGATGTACGTACTAAGGGAAGGTGATAGTGATTCACCGAGGCTAATATATTATATATATATATATGTATACCTTCATGGGAGTGACATTGTAAGTGGAGACTCCGGTTATTGGAGCTGAACTTTTGTTTTCAGCAGTGTAAAAGGCCAGCGCGCTTTCTCCTGGCTTTACTCTCACCTATAAGAAAAATACCAAAAGCCAAAAAACATGTCAGTTAAAAACACATACATTAAACAAGTCACACAACACTGTCTCCTTGACTTATAAAGTCTAAATAAACAAAACCTCTCTTTGAGTTGGAGTGAACTTCCACTGCATCCCATCTGCAACATCAGCATTGAACTGCACCACAATCTCCCTGTTTACAAGACAAAACATGATACAAGTATAGTTAGCAACCAAGTTGACCATAAAACACAGACTATGAATTGGTGTTAAGAGAGAGAGAGGAATAAACACCTTTCAGTGACGGTACCAGATTCTGAATGCCTAGCAATCTTCTCCTCAACAGTCTGTACTAGTACAAGCCCCAACGATTAGGGTAAACAGATTACAGATAACTAAACCTCGGAGGTTGATAAGTAAAAGTAATAAACAGATGGCTATATATGTATATACCTCTTTGCGTTGAACAGTACCTCCATATCCAGTAGCTTGGCAGAAGGTTCTATACAAAGGCACAGCGGCGTACGTTAACCCAACCATGCCAAAGACAACAGCAGTGAGGTAATAGAGCATTTTCTTTGATTTGGTTTCTGTAATCGAGTGAGTAGAATACTGGCGATGAGCACCACCAAGTAACATCGATTTAGCAGTAGCGGAGTGGGAAGACAAAGGGAAAAACGAAGAAGAGCTTCCCCAAAACCCTCTCTTGCTTCGGAGATTATGCTGATTGCCTTTACAAGCACCATGAATGTAATAGCGAGAGCAAGGAACAAGAGGCACAGTCCTACATAAGAACTCACATCAGAAGCTAAAAAATCAGAATCTTAACTTGATGACAGCAAGTGCAAAAAGGGTTGAATTTTTCATTAAGGAATTTTAACGAACAGTTAATCTGCATATTAGGAGGGAGAGGGGGATTCATTTACCTCGTAATGTGCAATGATGTTCGATGAAGATTGTCTAAATATGAGGAAATTCGAGTCCCTCTACATGCCTTCGACCACGACATGTCCGAAGAGATATGATTTCAATCGATCAACGCAGTGAGGAAACACTACACAACGACTAATCTGCACAAGAAACACGAACCCAGAAGATCAATAACGATCACACGGTTGGATAAAGAATGTAACATATCAGAACACGAAGAATGGCTCGAAGGATTAAAAGAGAGAGAGAGAGTAGATCAAAGAAGGCTTGCCCGAAAACGACCGTCGTTTCTTGTGTCGTCGGCGGTACAGATATCAGAGACGTCACTTGAAACGACAACCAAAGGGACCGAACAGTAAGTCAAGGAACTTGTTTTGCTGTTCACATGTATTATTTAGTCGAAATTTAATTCCAAGCCCATATTATGAATTGGCCCACTTAGGCCCAAATAAAAATATTACATTTTAGGATAATATAATATGAAATGTCATTAAATTAATTGTAACCCCATGGTATGAACCGTCATTGAATTACAAATATTTTCAAGATCTTCAACGTCATTAGGACAATATATTCATTTATTAGGTTAGATCCATATTAAGAATGTTTATACCATATTATGGTATTTATACACACGTAAGGTCAATAAATACATTCCATAAATTTGCGTAACATTTGATTTTCACACGTCTAAACCCCAAAAAAAACTCTCTTACGACATGCCGGAGAAAAATCGCCGTTTGATGGATCTCAGGGCCACATTCTTCACGGCCGTCGTGTTCCTCTCATCTCCCGTTATGATCAATGCCGCACGTTCTCCAGTCGAAAAGCTCAACGAGGATCCCATTAAGTGCACACCTTGTATCCAAAACCCGCCACCACCTCCTCCTTCTTGTTCCTCGCCGCCTCCGCCGTCACCGCCACCTCCTTCTCCACCACCTCCTCCGAAAATGTCCTACTGCCCACCGCCGCCAAAGCAGGAGGCCTACTCCCCTCCCCCGCCACCTCCGCCTACTTATGAAAACGCGTCTCCACCGGGAGACTTGTACCCTGTTGACCATGACTTCGGCGGGGCGGCTGCTGGAGAAGTCTTCACTAGCATTAAGCTGGTTGCGCTAGGAGTTATCGGTTTCATGGTTCTTTGATAATTACTCGAGATCGTCGAAGCCAAGACTGATTCCTAGGATTTTGTGGAATAGCCCAATTTATTTTTTATTATTTTTTGAATTTTAGCCAGTTTTTCAAATGAATATTTATTCCTTTTGGCGAATGGGGAATGTTCTAGCTAGCTGCTTATATATCAACTCTTTAATTATCGTCCGAAACATACTTGGTCGTTAGATTTATTTAAACTCATGTTTCACTTTTGTTCGTATACAAAAACTACAGTGAACTGAGTTGTTGGTAAAATTTGACACTCTAATATTGTTTGTTGTGTTACTGCCACACAAACGACATCTATATATAGTGTCTCTACGGCAGTTACATCATTGGAGTGTCTATATATATGGTGCTTGTGGAGGATCCCACCTATTATTTTCCACAAGTTTTTGGTTGAGCTTTTGTAGATTAGGTCGCAGATTATGAAGATGAACGGTGTAATCCCACTGCATCCATTCACCCTGAGTCATGTGAATGCTTTGCTTTTGTGTTTGTCTGAGGTCCAACTTAACTTTTGTTTTTCCTCGTCTACCTTATATATAAGTGATTGAAAATTTGAAACTAAGCAAGCCTAAACAAAGCAACATTGTACTATATATATAAGAACTAGACTTAAATAGCAGAGAGAACCACGAGTTGCAATCGAACATCAAGAGATTGCGGGGAGAGCTTCGTTCACACTCTTGTATAGGCGATAAGCACTCACAATGTCTTACTTCTATTGGAGACTTGCTTATATAAGCTTCAGGGAATTCTGTAAGTATGGCCTTTGCTTTTTGGTTTGCAACTACCATCATCTTTAATTACATCTTGACCATGAGAGATCGAAAAAGCAAACGACGCATCCAAGGAAATAGACATCGTTTGGCATGCAAAGTCATTTTCATTACTAGTTGCATACTCCCCGCGCAAGCGCGGGGCCGGAATCATTATGTTTGCGTATATTTTTCTCGATTTAGTGGTTTAGTGGATTATTCTAATGACACCAAATATTAATGAAATGGAAAGAATGTAGTAAGAGTGTAAAGTGAAAATATTGTATATCTAATGTGTTAAATGTTATTTATATGCGTAGTAAGGTTTATAGGAACAGTTAGGTTATAATATATAGTTTTTAGTGTGTAAAAGTAGGTGTCTATTTATTTATTTTTGGTTGTAAATAGTTTTTATATCNTTCTAATGACACCAAATATTAATGAAATGGAAAGAATGTAGTAAGAGTGTAAAGTGAAAATATTGTATATCTAATGTGTTAAATGTTATTTATATGCGTAGTAAGGTTTATAGGAACAGTTAGGTTATAATATATAGTTTTTAGTGTGTAAAAGTAGGTGTCTATTTATTTATTTTTGGTTGTAAATAGTTTTTATATCGTATGTCAAAACTTGATATAATTCTATATTTATAGTATTTATATTTGTATTAAACGATTTATCAATTTAAAAGTAACCTTAATTAAGTTAATATTCGTTGTTTAAGTTTCATTAGATAGGTTTTTATATATGGATTTTTGTAAGTTTGGATTTTATTCATAAATGATGGGGCATTTATATCTACGGCGTCATCGAGGAATCCATTCGCCGAAGTCTAGAGCCGGTGGTGAGGAATGTTTTCAATGAAATTATAGTAGTTATTAAAATGTAAGAGAAATTACATATTCATTTAATAAATAACAAAAAATACTTAAATTTTGTTGTTTATTTTTTTTATTTCACATACAAATTTTTTGAAAATATATTAGGAATGAGTTAAATGTTATTTATATGCGAAGTAAGTTTATATGAATAATTAGGCTATAATATAGTTTTTAGTGTGTAAAAGTAGGTGTTTTATTTTTGCTGTATACAGTTTTAATATCGTAGGTCAAAACTTGATATAATTCTATATTTATAGTATTTATATTTGTATTAAACGATTTATCAATTTCAAAATAACCTTAATTAAGTTAACATTCGTTGTTTAAGTTTCATTAGATAGGTTTTTATATATGTTTTTTTGTAAATTTGTGTTTTGTTCATAAATGATGTGGCATTTTTACTTACGACGTCATCGACTGTGGGAATCCATTCGCCGGAGTCTGAAATCGGTGGTGAGGAATGTTTTCAATGAAATTATAGTAGTTATTAAAATGTAAGAGAAATTACATATTCATTAAATAAATAACGAAAATAATTAATTTTT